AGCCCCTGCTCGCTGCAACTAGAGAAAGCCCGTGCGCAGCAACGAAGACCCAATGCAGCCAAAAAAATTAATTAATTATTAAAAATAAATAAATAAATAAAATACACTGTAACAAAAATAAAAGGACCATCAAAACCTAGAAAAACATGTTTGCAACATATATGACACAGGTTAAATGCATTACGGTGGTTACCAGGGGCTGGGGACAGTGGGGGGACGGATAGAGAGTTAGTGCTTAATGGGTACAGAATTTCAGTTTGGGAAGATGAAAAAGTTCTGGAGAGGGACAGTGGTGATGGCCGCACAAAAATGTGAATGTATTTAATGCCACTGAACTGTACACTTAAAAATAGTTAAAATGGTAATTTTTTGTTGTTGTTGTTATGGGCATTTTAACCACAATAATGACAATTAAATGTTTCAAGGATCCTTGGGTTTGTATCTGCTTAGAAAGACTTCCCACGCCTGAAGATGATAGAGTTGTTTATTCTTCTAGAAGTATTGTTTGTTAATATGGAGTTGGTAGGAGAACCAACTTTTGCATAGGTGTTTGAGGTGAAAAGAGGCTTTTGCAACAGTCAGGGGAGAAAGTGACAAGGACCTGAAGTAAGGGGATGCAGTGGAAGGGCCAGTGTCTTCCAACTGGGAAAATAGGATGAAAGGATTTGGCTTTCAACTGGATATATACATGGTAGGTACTTGAATGTTTGTTGATCGAGAAGGGAACAGAAATTCAATACAGAGAACCCCTGAGGTTTCTAACCCAGGCAGCATGCACAATAGTAATAATAACATTAATTGATTGATACTAATATTCACTGACACAGGAAGATTAGGTTTGTGGGTGGAATAGGATGTGTTCCATTTTGAACATGCTACTATTTTTAGAGGCAGGCAGGTCAGCCATCTGGGTGATTTCCAGAAAGCAATCAAAAGGTGGATCTGCTGTGGAAAAACATTAAGGGGGAGAAATTTGACTTGGAACTCAGCCAATCAAGATGATTGCTGAAGCTATGGGATTGTATGGGAGAGTATAAGAGTGTCAAGAGAGAATGGATAAGACCTTGAAGAATTTTAGCCCTTCAGTGGGATGAAGAGGAAGTATAGCCAGAGCAGCAAATAATTTGTAGAAAAGGTACTTGAAAGGGGCTTGATGAAAGGGTTTTAACAACAGGAGACTGGAGGGTTGGGGTAGTGGAGGTGGTTAAAGAGTTCCAAGCAGAAATAAGAATGTGAAGAAACAGCGAGCAGGAAAGCGCTCCACCAAAGAAGCCCTTCAGTAAACCAGATGTTGAATAAATTTGTTGTAGAATCGGAGGTTTCAAGGATGGGTTAGTCAACATCATTACTGTGCAAGAGAAGATGATGACCAAGAACAGGCCATTTCCCTCAGGGTAACTGTGACTATTGACATTTGGTTGCTTGAGCATGAAAAGTCTGACAGCATTTGATCTACTTCACTTAAGCTCCAGCCAAAGATATCCGGTAAATTTGGAATGTCTCAGGTTTCTAAACATAGTCAGCGTCCTCTATCCTAGGGTTAGGTTGGGTGTTCCAATTTCCTTTGTTGTGACGCATCTTTGTGCCAGATCCCAAACAGGTGCTTTTCAGTCTACCTTCATCATTACTTTTTGTTTGTTGTGTTTGTTTTTGAAGTTTTTTTTTTTTTTTTTGCGGTACGCGGGCCTCTCACCGCTGCGGCCTCTCCTGTTGCGGAGCACAGGCTCCGGACGCGCAGGCTCAGCGGCCATGGCTCACGGGCCTAGTCGCTCCGCGGCATGTGGAATCTTCCCGGACCGGGGCACCAACCCGTGTCCCCTGCATCGGCAGGCAGACTCTCAACCACTGAGCCACCAGGGAAGCCCTGTTATTGAAGCTTTGTTAATTTTTTTAAATGAGAAATTGGATGAGATCATGTTTCTAGGGAAAGGTGATAATGGCAGCAATGTTACTGTCCATGGTTCAAGTATCATACTGCACATGTGTGCTGTCAGAGGGTGGCAAGAAAACTATCTAAGCCCAACTTGAGTTCTACTTTCCCCAAAGACCCTACACCTGGTTTCAAAGAGTCACAGTTTGGTTGCTATTAAAAAGATACGTAGAATTAACAGCTTGAAAAAAACTTCAGAGTTCCATTTTTCATTCTCAGCCTGGCAAAGATATACAAAGTTTGATAACTGTGGGAAAGCAGGCACTTGTCCTACAGTGCTGGTGGGAGAGTGAATTGTCATGACCTCTTTGGAAGGCAACTGACAATATTTACCAAATGCACATATCCTCTGACCCAGGGTATTCGAGACAAGATGATTCCCTGCAGCATAATCTGTTGTGGCAAAGATGGCAACAACCTAAAATGCCCATCAACAGAGACTGGTTAAATAATTATGGTGTATCTTCACCACGAAATACTTTAGGCGTTACTGCTTCTTTATGCATAAAATAGTTCTGGAACTATACGTTAGAAACTGGTCACCCTGGTGGCCTCTGGGAGGGGACTGGGCTAAAGGGACAGGGATGGGAGGGACTTTTCATTTGCCTTCTATACCTGATGAATGTATAACCTACCTCCACCCACCACTCTGAATGAAGCAAGACAGTTTCCTGGTGGCAGAGAGTACACTAATAGTTTTTAACATATTAGGAATCTTGAGATAAATCCTAACCACAGTCCTGAGTTATGATGGGAATCATTTAGAGAAGTTCAGGAGTTGAAGGCCATCTCATGTTTCCCACCCACCTTTTCTCTCCACACAGAACACAAGGCATGAAGGAAGGGAAGGATAAGAGCAAGACAGCACAAAGGAGCCATGAAGCCAAGAACTTGTAGGACAGACACTTTATTAAGACTTGCTTATAATAAAACATTCAACCCTTTGACGTGTCCATTAGTTTGTTATTTTGTTTTTTGCTGGAGACCACAGCCTGATGCCCAAAAGCCCTTAGCCTCATCTTACATCAGTCTAGTCAATGGCTGCCTATTTTATAGTTCAACTAATTGAGAGTCAGGAAAATCTGGTCTTAACATCCCAAATTAAGGGCTGTAAGATTTGCAACCTATTTATATAAAGTGCTTGTGTTCAGTGCAAAAAGGGCAGACTCAGAAGGGCAAGCAGATGCCAGGAAATGATGTTTTCTGGGAGACAGATGCATTTTATGACTCAAAGCCACTTGTCACACTTTCCCATAAAGGGGTCTAGTATTTTCTTTTCAGTCTCTCCCCTCTCTAAGAGGACCAAAACTTTGAATCTGACAGATGCTCTTACAGTTGTTTATTTTACTATTAAAAAAACCTGGTTCAGAGGGAAATCCACAGGGTTTCTAAGTGCCAGAGATAGTGACTTTGGCTTCTAGCTCCCGTTTCTCTCAGCAGCAAACGTGAGATCAACAGGCTGAGCTCTGGCTGGTGGGAGGCTCGCAGCTGCGGAGCTTTCCTCACACCCCTCATTTGCAAATCCAAGTCATGGACTATGGCAGACCTTTTCCAAAACGCTGTCACGTCTCTGGTGGGAAGACAGGCCAATGCTTATTAAAGGAGCACTTCACCTAGTTGCCCAACTGGACATGACCTATTTCACCATCCCCTTGTTTAATTCTTTATAAAAAATAAATTTATTTATTTATGGCTGAGTTGGGTCTTTGTTGCTGTGCACAGGTTTTCTCTAGTTGTGGCGAGCGGGGGCTACTCTTCGTCGCGGTGCACGGGCTTCTCATTGCAGTGGCTTCTCTTGTTGCAGAGCACAGGCTCTAGGCGTGCAGGTTCAGTAGTTGTGGCACACGGGCTTAGCTGCTCCGTGGCATGTGGGATCTTCCCGGACCAGGGCTCGAACCTGTGTTCCCTACATTGGCAGGTGGATTCTTAACCACTGAGCCACCAGGGAAGCCCCCCTTGTTTAATTCTTGTCCGCTGGTCCAACTTCAAAGTGAACCCGTGACTCCCTTTGTTAAGACAAAGAAGTGCACTGCCTTCTCAATGACCTTGGGTCTCTGCGTGTCCATCCTTCTGTTCCGAAGAGACTGAAGAGAAGCAGGAGGGAAGAGGAAGTGATTTCCTAACCAACTTAAGGGGCACATATAGGACTGTAACTCAAACAGGCAAAGTCCAGCCATTCAGTTCCAGGGTCTGGGCTACTGTTTCTCTCCCCAGACTCTCAAAGAGGAAGCTACTTTCTCTCACTTTGCAGCAGGGATATTGACAAAAGCCAGTTCTTTGCTTGTAAACAACCCTCCTGCAATCCTGTTTGGATTGGAGAGGTTCCCTTTTCTCTCCCTGTGGATAAACGTGATGGCACCCCTCCTGCCCATGTGTAGGGCTCCAGACCCCATCACGTGTACAGGTAGCCACAGCTTTCAGATGCCAGCACCTGAGGGCCTTTCTGTTCAGACCACCTTCCAAAGATTCATGGTAACTCTTGCGCTTGTGAGAGGAGAGACACTCAGAATGGTTTTATACCACAGGAAGCAACAGCCCTAAAGCCATCTCTGAATTTGGGGACGGGAAGGAGGGAAGAAGAGGAAATCCTTTTGATGCTGCTCTATAATTCTCTGTTAAAACCCTTCCAGTCACGAGGAGCTACTGGAACGTCTCCACACAGAGGGAACTGTGTACAAAGAGGATGAACCCGGGTTAAGAACCAAAAACGCGGGGAAGGTTTTCAGACAGGCAGAAGTCTAAAGTAAAGTGCCTCTTTGCAGTGGGGGGAGAGTTTCATTTGTTCAGAAATGCTTGGGCGTAAACATGAGCGCAAAGAGCGTGCACACACACACACTCACTCTGAGGTAGAAAGAACTGGCCATCTCCAGACAAACACAGACTCCACAGTTTTACAGAAACATGGCACTTGTGTGAAAGGTCCTGTCTTTGCCCAGGATGGCAAGTCAGGTCCAATTCCAGCTCTTTCCCACCTGGGGTGGAGCCAGGGAAGTCCCGTCCCACAGGAGGAAAGAGCTGGAAGCATGCCCATCACTCCCCTCCCACAGTTGTCAGGCCCCGTAGTCCAGGGTCACTTCCTGGAGCCCGAGCCGTGGGCACCCCGGCTGTGGCTTGTCAGAAGCCACTGGGAGCAGATGTCTTGCACTACTGCGTCCCCACTGCTCTTGGCGGCCTGCTGCACCTGCTGGACGAGGACCGCGGCCCGTGAGTGTTCTTGCTTCACGGCGATCAAGTAGGCAGAACGCAACTTGCAACACGTCAGGTAGGCCTGAACCTGCCAGTTGGGTGTAAGAAACAGCGGGAAGGAAACCGTCACTGACAAGTCACCAACAGGCACACAGAGAGCTCAAGCAGATGAGATACCACTTCTCACCTACCAATCAATAATTGGGTTCTTGGGCTTCCCTGGTGGTGCAGTGGTTGAGAATCTGCCTGCCAATGCAGGGGAACACGGGTTCGAGCCCTGGTATGGGAAGATCCCACATGCCATGGAGCAACTGGGCCCGTGAGCCACAACTACTGAGCCTGCGCATCTGGAGCCTGTGCTCCGCAACAAGAGAGGCCACGATGGTGAGGGGCCCGCGCACCGCGATGAAGAGTGGCCCCCGCTCGCCGCAACTAGAGAAAGCCCTTGCACAGAAACGAAGAACCAACAAAGCCAAAAATAAATTAAATAAATAAATTTAAAAAACAGATACTCTGTCAAAACAGATTAGAGGTTATTAGGAAAAAAAATAATTGGGTTCTTGCCTTTTATTACATTACGGCCACTCTTTAAATATTACACTGTTATTTTATAGTGTAAAAAGTTATTACAAATAAGCTAAGAATTTCAAAAAGAAGAAGGTAGGCAGGCAGAGTCTGGCCTCTAAGCACTCCCTCCAAGGCCCTCCTCACTCCCCTGGGCTCTCCAGCCTCCTCCTGGCCTCACTGCTGACAGACTGTGGTTTTGTAGTCATTTGGCTGATTTGATTGATGACTGCCTCCTTGGCCAGGATGGCAGGAATAGTGTCTCCTTTTTCTAACCATTCCTGGTGCCTAGCACAGGGTCTGGCATGCAGGTGTTCAATGAAAATGCATGAAGTGAATGAGTGAATGAATGAGCCATCATACCTGCCCCCTACAATGGGCACACAGAGCCCCTTTCTCTATTTTCTGTTTCTGACCTGCTGAATTAAAAATCTTTTAACAGGGCTTCCCTGGTGGCGCAGTGGTTGAGAGTCCACCTGTTGATGCGGGGGACACGGGTTCGTACCCCGGTCAGGGAAGACCCCACATGCAGCGGAGTGGCTGCGCCCGTGAGCCATGGCCGCTGAGCCTGTGCATCCGGAGCCTGTGCTCCACAACAGGAGAGGCCACAACAGTGAGAGGCCCGCGTACCGCAAAAAAAAAAAAAAATCTTTTAACAGGAAATTTTGGGAAGAAAACGCACACAATTAGAAAAACTCTAAATAAGGCGTGACCCCAGGTTGATCTGACTTGCAGTTTGGCACAGAGGCAGCTCAGTTTCCTTCATTCAGGACACCCTCCAGCTCAGGAATGCCCAGCTAGGTGGAGACGAGAGCCCCTGCCTTCCCTGGCCACGACCTCACCAGCGCCTCCCTGGTTAGCCAGGGTTCCAGGCCAGCGAACAGCAAGGCCCAGGTGAGTTGCCTCAGAGCTCCCGCTAGCAGCTGCCTTTCTGCCGTGACAGTCCTTCTGGTGGTTGGAGCGGACTCTTCTCTCTTGATGTTTCAATGCTCCATCTTCTTTTTTTACCTTGGTCACTAAAGTCCTCCTTTCCTAAGCTCAATTACAGATAATCGCCTACAGCTAGAAGACATGTTCTGACATGTCTGAGCTCTCTGAAGTGATCAAGTCCTGCAGTATGGTTATCTACCTGTTGCCCTAGGACATTCGCTTCACCCGGGCCCTCAGCTCTGCTTGGTACCAGTGTACATTAAACAGAATATCACAAGTTGCCAGGCAAAATTCCTACCTAGAGGAGGAGGGCATTTTTCCAGAAAGTCTGGAATAGAAACTGAACGAAGCTGTTTTTGGCAAGATCCTGTGACCTGAGATCACGTAAGTGTGTTAGAACAGCTGCTGCCAGAAAAAACCTGAAAAAGTAATAACGACGGTATAGCTTTCAGCGTCCATCTTTCCCAGGCACAAAGTCTCTGTCCTACAGAACAGGAGGATCACTGAAGGCTTGGAAAAGAGCCATAGCCGGAGAATCAAGAAACCTGGGTGTCTGGCCTGGCTGTCGGGTTCTCATTTTGATTCTAGAAAAGTAATTTTCCACATTTCAGGATGCCAGAATTCTACCCTTTCCACAGGATGTCATCAGGATGTTGCAGAATTAAGTGAAGAAATGTTAAGAACAGCTTCTCCCTAACCTCAAATGAAAAATGCCCTGCAAATTCAGTCCAGGGATTAGCAATACCGCCGTGGGGAGCAGCAATGTGGTTGCGTGAGAAGCTGTTTGCCTAACATTAGTTTTCTTCACAAGGGACTCAGCTGCCAGATCATTCCACTGCTAGTGGCCAGGGCAGGCTGGCTTGGCTTTCTCCTGCCTATCTTGGCCTGTGGGCCTTCCTCCCACGGTGAAGCCACAAACAGGAGCCGCTGGCACCCTTCCCAAAGGTTCACCGATTTCCCTCCCACTCAACAGGAAGAGCTTGCAGGTCCCAGGGGCAAGGCCTGTTCTGCAGACTGAGGCACCAACAGACATCGTTGGTCAAAGGGTTGGCTGAGTTCTCCCCTTACTGTAGAGGGTACACTTGCTCCTCCAGGATGAAGAGAGGCCTGCTCACTCTGAGAACCCCATGCAGTGAGCCCATCTGAAGATGAAAGTGAGGGCTTCCTAGGGCTCTGAGAGGAAACCTCCATAGGAAATGCAGAGTTGAGAGAAGCCTAGGACATGTGTGTCTTGGGGTATAAAAAAATGGGAGGGCAAAGGCTCATGTGGTCAGGTTTCTCATGTTCCCCACCTATGCCCTCCCTTCTACGCCCCTATCTGGGTCTCAGTCCCACCTCTGATAACAAAGAGGCTGAGATACAGGTTGAATGGTAGCGAGCAAAGGATAAAGGTGAAAAGGCAAGTCCAAAGTGCTGTGCCCGAGCGCTACTGGGTGTGGAGACAGTTCCGCTCACCTTGCTGTCGTCACTGTGCATCGCCTGGATCAGGCCCTCCAGCTCCTGTTCAGAACAGAGACACAGTAGTCACGAGATGAAGGGGTCCGCAGCGTGGCAGCCGGGGCCCAACCCAGCCTCAGCCCAGCCATTCTGACTCAGGGTGGGGATGCCTGCCTGACCCTTCTCTACAAACTCATCACCTGGGAATTCCCAGGCGGTCCAAAGGTTAAGACCCCATGCTTTCACTGCTGAGGGCCCGGGTTCAATAGCTGGTCAGGGAACTAAGATCCCACAAGCCACGTGGCACGGCCAAAAAACCCACAAAAACCAAACTCAACTCCTGCTATAAGAGCAACAGAGGAAAACTAACGATAACACTAAGCTTGGGAACCTGAGAAGCAATAGCAAACGAGGCCTGTCCTTGGCCTTCAAGAGAGGATGTGGGGCTTCCCTGGTGGCGCAGTGGTTAAGAATCTGCCTACCAATGCAGGGAACACAGGTTCAAGCCCTGGTCTGGGAAGATCCCACATGCCGTGGAGCAACTAAGCCTGTGCGCCACAACTATTGAGCCTGTGCTCTAGAGCCTGCGAGCCATAACTACTGAAGCCCGCACGCGTAGAGCCCGTGCTCCGCAACAAGAGAAGCCACTGCAATGAGAAGCCTGCGCCCTGCAAAGAGTAGCCCCCGCTCGCCACAACCAGAGAAAAGCCCACGTGCAGCAACGAAGACCCAACGCAGCCAAAAATAAAATAAATTTATTAAAAAAAAAAAAAGAAAGGATGTGGCTTTGTTCACCCCACTAGGAAGCCATCGGGGGACAGTTTTGCAGGCGACGTGCTTCAAAGGCCACCTGCAGGCCCACGATGACCTCCTCTACAATCACAGGGAGAAACTCAACTCTGTCCGTCCGCAGACACTTCCTGGTGCCAACAGCATCAGACAATGGGATGCTGAGGGACGGCCTCTGGATACAGTGATTATCACCATGAATTTTCTTTCCAGCGAAGGGTTGACTAGTGAGGCCATCATTACAGAGGGGTCAGAAAGACAGAGGGATCTTGTAGAGTTTCAGGTACAGTAAGTATAGGGAAGAGAAAAATAAAGAGGGGGATGTGAAGGCACTGAAATAGGCAGAGGAGCTGAGAGGTCTGGGGGTGAGCGCACCTGGGGTGGAATTCTCTTGAATGCTTCCAAGCAGTTGAGGAGGATCGTGTCCCCGTCACTTTTGGCCGCCATGCCTGACTCGCTGACACATTTGAGCAGCTGTCGGATCTCACTGTACTTCTCCCTCTCCACCAGCTGCCGGGCGGCTTTGCAGTAGGTTGCGGCAGCGTCCAGCTGGAAGTCCTAGAACAGAACATGGGGTGATGGGTGTAGGGAGGCAGGGACACCAATGGCGGGAAGGGAGGTGACATTTACAGAGCTCCCACTGGGCTTGGGGTAGACAAGACTGTAGTCCCAATAGAGAACATACATAAACAAGCAATCAGCAAAAAGTTCTTCTCTTGGAGCTCGGCAGACATTTAGGAAGCATCCATAAAAATCGTAACTTTGATATCTACACTGGTACATCTCACTTGCTGCCATGTCACTTTCTGAAAATATTCTAATCAAATGCCCAAGACCAGTTCATTCTCTAACGAGTCACCTTTCTCTTGGAAAATGGATGTCAGGGGCTGATACTGGCTGCCCTGGACACTTGGTGCTCTGTTAAGAGATGTCTTGGTGTTAGGAAACAGACCAATTCACCAAAAGACTGATGTGCTAGAAACTACCAGATAAACATGTTGTTGCCTTGGGGTCTTTGCCCAACAGGGAAAATGGGTGGGAAGAAAGAAATCTGTCACATGGTTTGTTGTCTTTGATCCTTTAGATGCACACTGCGTGAAGACCGTGTCTGCCTGGAGGGTGATGGGCCTCAGCGTGCCTGCGTGTCACTGTGTGGTGGGGAGTGGTCTGGCTTTTCATGGTTTTGGCGCCCTGCTCCATCCTCTGCTCCAGTGCCATAGCTGTACCCATGTCCTCGTATCACAAGCAACAGAAAATGTATGCCTCGAGCCGGCTCCTGGGCAGAAGGATGGAGGGGCAGCTCTTGCTGCCAGCAGCCCCTCCCCCTGAATAGGACCCCTGCACCGCAGCCCCTCTGCCACCTCCTCCAGCCATGCTCCCCCGCAATGAGGACAGCTGTGTGGAACTCTCCTAGTTTCGGGTAGTTATTTGATAGCTTTTGATGAACTCGTCATTGGTTGCTTGGCTTTTGGCAAAGTGGCCTACGGTCTTGAATTTGACCCAGTTCTGTAACAGCCCTCTTGTTGATTTCATCCTTGATGTACGTGTAAATCTGCTTTCCTTGGTATAAAAATTTTCTGAAGAATGATCACAGAACTGTGGTCATGTGCTGATCGCCCCCGGTATAATCCTGAGTAATCTGAGTCATACCTGCAGAACACGGAATGCAATTCCAAAACCATCTTCTACATTTTTCCCTCCTAGCATGACCTGAAAATGAGAGGGAAACGTGCTTAAAGAAGCAAGAATTACTGGAGCAGCCCCTCAGTCAAGAACGAGGCCCTCATTCATTCATTTATTCAACAAATATTTGTGGAGACTCTACTGAGTGCAGGCACTAGCGATACAAGAGTAATCAAAACGGACTCGGTCTCCAGCCTTCCGGGGCTCTCATTCCATCGGGGAGGCAGCCATCAAAAGGATGACTGAAATAATGATAACTAGACGATTACAAGTGTGATAGGCACTCTGAAAGAGTGCCTCTGACACATCGTGCATACCTTGCAGGCAACATCCATTTTCATGTGGTTGTTTCCAAACAGGGTTGGCAGAGGCAAGGGGGTGGTCTGAGCGGCCCCAGCACTTTCGCAGCGATGTAAGAACCTGGTCACTTCCACCTGCAGCTGAAGCGTGTTCATGTGCCTGCGGTGACAGGAGATGCACAGTCAGGCCTCAGGAGGGGCCTCAGGAGTAACCAGGGCCAGGGGACCGAGAAATCATAATAGGATGGCAATGGAAAAGGCAGAAGAAAGGATGCGGAGGGAAAAGAGATCCAAAATACCCTCTGAGCAGTTACGACAAGGCGAAAGTGGCTGCTGAGTGTTTACGGAGCACGGTGTGCTGCTAACAACAGCAGCGTTGGGAGAGACAGGAGCCCTGCCCTCCAGAGTTCAGAGGCTAGATAACAAACAGACACATTGAGTATCTAGCGATTGGGACTGTGAAGGAATAAACAGTAGCGGTGGAGCGTTTACTTCAGATGTTGTGCTCTCAGCAAAAAGGCTGAGAGGAGGGAAGGACCTGGGGTGCTGAGGAACCCCCCGGAGGCCAGGGTGCCTGATGCGCCACAAGAAAGGAGAGAGTAGCATGAGGTAAGATGGAGATGCAGGCGGGGGCCAGATCACCCAGGACCTCTTTTGCGTCTTGTAAGGGGTAGGGGCTTAGTCTGACTGTCACATGTGATCCCAGTTCCTGCGCCTCCCCGACTTTCCTCTTCTCCTACAAGCTCCTCTGGCGGCTTTCCAGGCTTGTACCGGACACTGTCATCCAGGAATGATTCCTGTTAGGTGTGTGCGTGTATGTGTATGTGTTTGTCTCCCAAGAGTTCAGGGATGGGCAAGGGCGGCTGCATCACCGACAGGCCCTCGGTTCCAGCCTTTCTGCCCCACCCCAGCTGCTCCCTGAACCCCAAGTTACCTTGACACATCGGCTGCCGTCATCTTCTTTCGGAAGAAGGTGGTTTTCTTCCTTCCAGTGCGGCGGGAGGTTTCTTGGAGGTAGATCTTCAGGTGGTCCTTGGCCTTAAGCAGCCAAGAGAGCTTCTCTCCCAGCTCCGTATATGTCTCTGCTTTGTGACTGAAGAACCGAATACAGGTCATGGCGGCCCGGATGTGGTCCTGGAAGAGGAAAATGAATGTTCAGGTCAAAGGAGATTTGGAGGGTGGGGGTGTGAGGAGAACTCTGATCTGATGTCCCCCCGTGAAGCCTGGCTGCCAGCACCCTTTCCCTCAGAGGCCCAAGAGATCCCAAAGTGAACTGACTGGCTGGGACCTTAGGTAGGACGTTATTCCAGCACAAAAGAGATCTTTAAAAAGGAGGCGTCTGATTCTCCATTTGACTTGCCTTCACTTTCACTCTGGCATTGAATAAGCCAATTTCTCTGTGATTTAGTGTTGGCCACCCTCAGACAGATTGGAAGAAACATGATCCCTCTCCTTTCATGCATCTTCTCTAAAAACACTTTACTTCTCCTTCATTCCTTACGAATTCTGCATTCATGCTACATGTTTATCTTGAAACTACCATATCCCTCTTTTTTATCTTTATATTCCCTGAATTCTGAAGAATGCTATTACTGACAAGATTAAAGTCTGCCTCCTTAGGATGAGAATGGAAATCCTGATACTATGTAAGAATGCTAGAGAGTAATGTGGATTTGCGGTAGGCTTAGTCAAGGAGCAAAAGGCCAGGAACCAAAACGACAGTCTCGTTCCCTCATCCTGCACAGTCTCCCCACGCGACAGGCCAACAGGGACAGAGGTAGAAGGCAGGATGGGGCTGCTGTTACCTTCATAAACTGCTGTAGCTCGTACAGAATGTGGTAGTAGTTCTTCTTCTGTAAATGTTGGCAGGCGGCAATCAAGTACTTTCCCCAGCTTTCCAAGGTTGGATCAATGGATTCTAGCAAGTTTTCTAAAACGTGTAGCTTCCCACTTTTATAGCTTGGCTGGAAGATGCCTTCTATGAAGATTTCCGGGGGACTCTCCTGGAGCAGGGCAAAGCAAAAAGTCAGAAGTCTTGAGCCTGGTTCTGGCACTGTCTGGGACCCATTCTGAGTTTCCTTCCACTCACAGCCCTTCAGCATCCTCCCACAGCGGTGCGTCTTATCTTTTTGCACATCACAGATGGAACCCTTTGAGAATCCCGCCCGGGTGACTGCTCCCCTTCTCTCCTTCTCCGTACAGAAAAGTTCCTTGAGTTATCTGCACTCCCTGTCTCCAGTTCCTCTCCGGCGACTGTCTCCTGAACTCACTCACATCTAGCTTTTGCACCTACAACTCCATTGCAACCGCCCCTCAGATCACCAATGACCTCTATGTTGTTAAATCTAAAATTCTTAGTCCTTGTTTTCCACCTGCTCTGTCAACAGCTTGTGATATAGCTGATGGCTTCCTCCTTGAAAAATTTTCTTTATTTGGCCCCCAGGATACCACCCCCACCAGGTTTTCTTTCTACTTCCCTGGCTACGCCTTCTCAGTCTCCTTTGCTGATTCCTCCTAATCTCTCCAGAGCTTAGGGGGGAGCTGTTCTCTTTTTTTTGGCTGCGTTGGGTTTTTTGGCTGCACATGGGCTTTCTCTCTAGTTGCGGCCAGCGGGGTCTACTCTTCGATGGGTGCACGGGCTTCTCATTGCAGTGGCTTCTCTTGTGGAGCATGGGCTCTAGGCGCGCAGGCTTCAGTAGTTGCAGCACCTGGGCTCAGTACTGGTGCCTCGCGTGGGCTTAGTTGCTCCGTGGCATGTGGGATCTTCCCGGACCAGGGATTGAACCCATGTCCCCTGCATGGGCAGGTGGATTCTTAACCACTGCGCCACCAGAGAAGTCCCTGTCCTCTTTTCTTTACTCACTCTTTTGATTTCGTAAGTCTTAGGGCTTTACATTTATCGCTCTACTGATTATGTCTAAATCTCTATTCCCAGCCTGTTTATTCTTTCTGAACTCCAGAATTGTATACCTAACTTATAGCCAACTGCCGACGCAAAAAGTCCTCTTTGGTATCTAGAGAACAATACATATTGATATAAAACTGCACTCCTGATTGTGTCTTCCCAATCTGCTCTTTCTGCAGTCTTCCCCTTCTCAGATGGCAATTTTGTTATTCTATTTGTTCAGGCCAAAAACCTTAGCCATCTTTCTCTTACACCACAACATAAAAGTCATTAGCAAATTCTATTGGCTCCACCTCAAAATACATACAGAATCTGTATGTAGCTGACCACTTCTCACCACCTCCATGTACCGTCCTGGTCCAAGTCATCATCACCACTTGCCCGGATGATTGCAATGGCCTCCTCCCTGGTCTACCATCTTCCACTCCTGCCTCTTTTTTGACTAATGCCAACCAATCAACCTGAGTGATTCGGTTAAAACATAAGTGAGGGGCTTCCCTGGTGGCACAGTGGTTGGGTGTCCGTCTGCCGATTCAGGGGACGCGGGTCTGTGCCCCGGTCCGGGAAGATCCCACATGCCGCTGAGCGGCTGAGCCCGTGAGCCATGGCTGCTGAGCCTGCGCATCCGGAGCCTGTGCTCCGCAGCGGGAGAGGCCACAGCAGTGAGAGGCCCACGTACCGCGAAAAACAAACAAACAAAAAACATAAGTCAGATCATGTTACGTCTCTGCTCAAAATCTTCCAACGGTTTTCCTTCTCACTCAGCACAAAGCCCAAGTCCTCATAATGTCTACAAGGCTCTATATGATCTAGGCCCTGTTAGCTTTCTGACCTTATCTGCTACCACCCTTTCCCCAGCTTACTCTGCTCAAGCTGCCCTGGCCTTTGCCCTTGCTACTCCCTCCACCTGGACCGTGCTTCCTCCACAATCTGCACAGTTCATTCCCAACCTACTTTAGGCCTTTACTCAGATGTCATCTCTCCTGGGCACCCTGTCTAAAATTACACAATCCATCCCTTCCCTCTCCCCCACTTTACTCTTCTTATTACTCATCACCTATACTATATATCTTATTTATCTTGTTTATTGTCTTTCTCCCTACTATAATGTAAGTTTTATAGAGCAACTTTTTTTGTCTGCCTTTTTTTTCTTCATTGTTGTGAAGAATAGTCCTTGGCTATTTAATAACTATTTCTTGGATGAATGAATAAATGATAAATATCATAGACCAACTCATCAGGAAAGTGCAAACACGTACTAACCTGCTCACTTCTGAAGTTCATCTGTGGTTCAGAGGCCGTGAGTCATCAACCCCCGTTCCACAGTCATAGAAAAAAAACCATTTGGCCATTCAACCCCTTAAAAACTTCCATTTTGGGACCTCCCTGGTAGCACAGTGGTTAAGAATCTGCCTGCCAATGCAGGGGACACAGGTTCAATCCCTGGTCCAGGAAGATCCCACATGCCGCGGAGTAACTAAGCCTGTATGCCACAACCACTGAGCCTGCACTCTAGAGCCCGCGAGCCACAACTACTGAAGACCTCATGCCTAGAGCCTGTGCTCCGCAACAAGAGAAGCCATCGCAATGAGAAGCCCGCCCACTGCAACGAAGAGTAGCCCCCGCTAGCTGCAACTAGAGAAAGCCTGCGTGCAGCAACGAAAGGAAGACCCAATACAGCCAAAAAAAAGAACTTCCATTTCATCCATTCATGTATCCACTCATTCATTCATAACTGGCACTAGGCCAGGTGCTTGAAGACACCAGGTAAGTTAAATATGGGCCTTCTCGCTCCAGATGCGAAGACACAATTGTAAACAAATAGTTGCAATCCAGTGGGATAAATGCAATAACAGAGTTATGTTCTAGGTACAGTGACTGTTTATAGGAAGAGGTGAATGCTCAATACAGAGGGTCTGGAAGGATAAACATGAGTTTTCCAAGAAAACAAGGAGGGGCAGGGCATTCTAGGTACGGGGAAACAGCAATGTAGACTCATGGAAGTAAGAACGGGCATGGTACAATCAGGAAAATTTAAGTAATTTGGCAAGTCCGGAATATAGAGCAGAGATAGGATTTGCAGTGAAAATAAACTGGAGAAATAAGGGGGCCTGATACTGTTGGGTCCTGCATTCATGCTAAGGAATTTGGACTTCACCTTGTGGCCATGGGGATCCACCGAAGGCCTTTTAGAGAGAGGAATAACATGAATTCAGAATAACATAAATAACATGTACTATGTTTTAGAAAGCTCACTCTGGGGCAGTGTGGTGGGTAAGGGGTGAAAAGGCAGGGAATGAGGCTGGAAACACCACGTCTTCCATGCTCTAGGCATTCAGTCATAGTTTTCACAATGTTTTTTTCTGTTGTTCCCCACCTGCTTGAGAAGGTAAGATACTTCAGTTCAAGGGTAGCTGTGATTACAGGAGATAAAAAGAAGCCTTCTTTCCTAGCTCTGACGAATGTAAAGCAGGGGCAATGCTGTCGTCAGCTTTTACCAAAATAAGTAAGTAAGCAGCTTAACCCTCTGGAGTGGTCATCAGTTAGAAGCAACAGAACTGGGTGAGGTGAAGTAGCTTTACCTCAAAACTCTTTTGGAAACTGAGGAAAAGGAAATAGGTTTTAGCAATTAAATGCCAAATAATATAACCTTTACAATATTGACACCTGGTTAAGACACGGTAGCTACGGCAGTAGTGAAAACATTTCCCTTTCGCTGTCCTGTAGGGGTATGGTTACCACGACTCTGTACTGTTGACGCACTGGAGGAATCCTAGAAGATATGCCTACTTGTAAACTTTCAATGGCTGCCATTTTGGACGAAGGCAGCAGACTGGAATTAAAGCATAACTCAAGCTCCTTTAATTTTATATGAAATTTGGTACTAATCACTCAGTTCCTCAGAAGAATTGCATGGGACTTTCAGATAAAAAAGAGAAGGTCAAAGAGTCATGGTGAAACAGAGCCCTGACTTGGCTTAACAATGGCTCCAAAGAAATAATGCACTTCAGGGGTGCCTTTGCCCCCTGTGGGAGGAGGGCAGAGGATGTCAGAGGAAACAAAGGAGGGCACACTCTCCTTCTATGAGATACTTGTGGCTCAAATTTAGGATGTGGCTCATGGGTGCTTCCTGGCCTTTGTGGTAACAACCCTGAGTGGACGAGTAGTGGGGTCAGCAGCAGGACACAGCCCAGAGCAGGTGGGAAGTGTGTGGAAACAGAGAGGTTAGGCAATTTGCTCAAGGTCACACCACTTACACCAAGCATCTCATTCCAGAGACCATGCTCTCAGCTATTACTTGGTTCTGCTAAATGTTCTGGGAGAAGGGATGAAATCTGTCACTGCCCGTCAGAAGGGCAATCTGGGATCCAGGTTAAGACTTGCGCACACTCATCAAATCATGATTTGTGCAGATGGAATTTGCCATTTGTGTTTTGCTTTGTTTTGTATTTTGGCTGCACCATGAGGCTTATAGGCTCCTAGTTCCCCGACCGGGAATTGAACCCGGGCCCTCGGCAGTGAAAGTGTGGTGTCCTAACCACTGGACCACCAGGGAATTCCCTAGAATTTGCCATTTGGACCTGACTTTGCCAGAGATGACCTCATAGCTCAACCCTGGGGTAAGGTTAAGGGGGGTTATTGCCTCCATGAAAGCTGGATGGGCCAAGCCAAGCGGGCAAAGCAGGCACTGCCGTGTGAGAGCCAGCCACGTCTGCAAGTCCCACCTTGTGGAGGAGGTGCAGCAGGGCTTCCCGCAGGCAGCTGTGCCTCACGTAGAAGCTAATGATGGCCAGGCTGGTGCTGTAGTTATGCAGGTAGAAGAGGCATTCTTGGTAGTAGGTGTTGTTCATGATCTTCCCTTCAGGAATCACCTCCAGAGAGAGGCTCTGGGTCCGAAGGGTAGCTTCCAGCTCTTTCAAGGTGGCCAAGTAATCATCATCTTGCTGCCAAGAGAGGACAGAGTGTGAGGGAGCAATGGAACTCAGGGAGTCCTCAGCAGCCGCTGGAAACACTGTTTTCAAAGAATGTTTAACAACGTGGAAAAGTGCTCGCTATTATATAGTTTTAAGGGTAGAAAACAGGCAGGATATAAACTTCTATATATTATAAACTGTATAACACCAATTAAATCAAAAACATAACAAAGAAAATTCACTAAAATCTAAATATTGCTTAAGTGTGGGTATGGGATTATATGTGATTTTCACTGTTTTAAAATTAGTTTTCTTTTTTTTTTTGAAATTTGACTTTTTATGACTTATCTAACCATATATAATGGAAAGAACGAAATCCAAACCTGACAGCTCTGAGCCAGGGCTGCCACTGTCAGCTGAATGGAAGCTGATACTTTCCCCAGGCCATTACTGCCCCTGGGCCTCCCCCTGGCCCTGGAGCCCACCCTCTGCCTGTTGTGCTCTTACCACGGATAGAAGTGGCCTCGCTGTGGACTCCAGGTACTCAACCACATCCTGTACCAGTCTTGAGCCATGACTCAGCTGATTGAGGTCAAGAGGGGGCTTCAGACAGCGACTAAACTTCTCCCGTGCGGCGGTGAGGTTCCCAGCTTTGAGGCAGGCCATGCCCCAAGCGTGCCATGCCCCGGTGGTATCAAGGCCAGTCTTTGTGGAGACCTGGAGGAAAAACTGCTCCTTTTAGGGGGAGGCACCCACAGCCATGCCTGAGGGTCCCAAAGACCAATTCTATCCCCTTGGTGTCAATCATTTCCCTCCCCACCACCCCACCTGCCATTACTCCCACACTGGTAAAATTGTCATGCCTTAGACACTCCCCATGGCCAAGGACAACTAGAGGAGGTAACTCGTTGGGGTAGATGTCAGCTTTGTCTGTGCCTCACCTCAACGCCCAGTTGGTAGTACTCAGCTTCCAAAAGCTGGTTCCTTAGCCTGGTTACCGCGGCTGGTTGCAAGATCTGATCCAGAGATGGCACGTGGCGATAGGCAGCAGCGACTAAAATATTCAGCACATCTACCTTGCTGATGTAGCTACAGGGAGGAAAAGGGCAAGGCAGTGAGGCTCCACAGGGTCATCCCAAGAACAGGTGCTGCTTAAAGGTTTTCTATTTCATTTCCAATGTGAAATGTGATAATGAGAATTGTGAGGTACATAGGAGAAAAGACTCTGGAGTCAGACTCTCGGAAACTCAACTCTATCACTTAGTGGCTCTATGACTTTGGGCAAGTTAGTTAACCTTTCTCAGCCTCAATTTACTCATCTGCAAAATGGATAGAATAATGGGGAGTTTTAAGGATAAAATGAAATAACCGGAGGAAAAGAGCTTAGGATGGTGTCTAGAGCTTTGTAGGCACTCATCAAACGTTAGCTATCAATACATGGAGTACGGACGCTCCGGGACACTCAGGTCTCCTATTTTGAGGCAAGGCCTTTATACCGATGCTGGGAGCTCGCAAGCTACCCGTTTCTTTTTGGTTCTCTGGAACCCTGCTTGCTTGGGAGAGTGTATATGGACTGTATCGGCAGCCTGCACTCCTGGTCAGTACAGAGGTCACATCACTACCATCCTCTGGAGGTGCTGCTGGGCAGGGCCCTCAGATTCGAGTGCCCTGGACTTGACATCCCTTCTCTGGGTTAAGGATGGACTCTTGTTACCAGGACTGCTGCCTTTGATCTTATTCCTGACACCTGGTGATTGCAAAAACCTTATAACAACAGAGCCCAGAGAGCTGTCTGGGATCATTCTGTTTAGTCCTGCCTGAGACAGGCCTACACTCAAGGTTCTTGAATCTTGTATCATAATTCTATCAAAACCCCTTGCAGATCCTGACTTGTCCACTGATTTCCCTGGAAAGGGATTCAGTACATCAGTGATTCTCAACCTAGTGGGGATGGGTAGGGGAGAGCATAGTGTGTAAAAGCAAATTCGGTATCATAATGTATTGGACGTGTGTAATAGGTGGTGTGAGTTTTGTTTTTAAACATTTATTTGTCCACAGAAGGAGGTATGAGTTAAAAACAGCGGAAAAATACTCTGCAAACCAGGAGTTCTAAACACACATGAGAGACGAATCTACTGTCATCAGCACCTGGGCACAAGTGCAGTGATTCCCTAGAGCGAGGGACGGATTCCAGGGCTGGGAAGAAGGGATGCGTAACTTGAAACCAGGGCTATTAAGTGTCAGAGAAGCCTATGGCACCTGGGGATGGGTGCGAATCCCACTGAAGCAAGGACTTCCTTAATTTCTGCTCCCTTAACCCAAAGTGGATATTTCCTCCATCTATATTAGATTTTGAAGGAAGTATAGGACTTGCTGTTAGATTTGTTCTCCAGCCCCCATCTAAGTATCCTTTTCTGTTAAGAAGATTTTATCTCATTTACGTTTCTGATAGTTGAGAAATATTTAGATATATCTTTATTTTTGCCTTAAATTCTACCTTTTGCTATATAAAATGGTTTCTGTTCCTTCCTTCCCTTCTCCATTTCTGATAAATTGGTAGAGTTGTGGTTCTTTAAAAAATTGTATTTAACATATTATACAGCTCATTTTTCATTTGTCAACTTGAAAAATGATGTAGAATCTTTTGCCTCTTGATATGAGTGAAATTAACTCCTTTATATTTCCTTCCACTTGCTGTCCCACCTCCTTCTGCCTTTCTCAACCTTCTGGTTTTTGTTAGTAAGAATAATAAAACTAACATTTTTGGAGTACACAGGCTCAGTTCTTAGACCTTTATATGGATACAGTACTCTCACTTTACAGCCATATGAAATAAATATTATTATCATCCCCATTTTCCAGAGGAGGAAACCGAGGCCCAGAGTGGTTAACAGACTCATCTAAGGTTACAGAGCTAGGAAGCGGTGAAGTTGAGAGTCACTGCACTCTCTGTTATCTGGTGAGTTTGCAGGCCAGTACCCTGGGCAAGTGCCTGAAGCACTGACACGTCAAAGAAAATTATGCTCTTCGCTCTCAAATCTGGCTAGGACTGAGAGCTGGGAATGCACAACGTGAGTCACACATCTGGGTGGATAAGCCGGGAATTGGGAGTTTTCATTGTCAGGTTAATGAATGGAGGCAGAGCAGGTTGTGTAGGGAGCTGGGGCCTAATCCTCACTTTTCCATAGAAACTTCTACTTTATGACTCACATTCCTCCCTGGGACATAGGGACAGACCAGTCCGCAGTGCGCTTTATAGATCTGTTACCCAGAACTCCGAGGCCACAGTCTGAATTTGGTCAAGGCTAGGGTAGAGGACACATCTCCTTTAAAAGGCAGAAAGTTCCACAGAGACTAAAGGTGCTCTCCAAAATTGATGTTCATTACAAATTAACCCAAGTCTTTCTTTCCAACTGGAAAAGAAAGACTCTATAGCTAGAGAACCTGCCTTGAGGATCCACTCAGGGAAAGAGAAGCACACAGGCTGTCAACGTAGGGTGAGGAAGACTGCTTGTGATCTGATAACAGCATTTCATCAACGACAAATGGAGATGCAAAACAGTTCAGCATGTCTTGTCAGAGGATTGGGAGGTGAAAACCCAGAGTAGGGTCAGAAAAAGAAGCCGGACAGACATGACCACCGTGTAAAAGAAGAGAGACTCATTTCCACTTACCTGTCACAAAGAGCCAGGTCCTGGCTCCGGCCCGCCTTGACAAACATCATCTTGGCGCTGAAGAGCAGCTGCTTCATGATGTCTGTGAGCAGCCCCGCATCTACCTCTGGGTTCATGAGCCCCTGGGACAGCCTGCAGCAGTGCTCAATTAGCTGGTGGCCGCAGGCAACACTGTCCTGGTGCAGATTCAGGATGGCGATACACAAGGAGGCGCTGGGGGCCTGGCCCAGGTGGACGAGGAGAGAAGCACACTGTGAGTTCCCAGACCAAAGCAGTCTTCAAATGTAGCTGGGAGGGAGGAATTATTCTTCCCGTTTCACAAAGCTTGAAAAACCCTGGGGGAAGGAGCCAAAAATCCCACGGCAAAGCAGAAGTAGAGCTAAACATACTTCAGAAGTTCTAAGTAGCACTGGCAAAGCTCTGGCTTTTAGGTTTTTGTCTCCTTACTGGGAGGAAGGCAGCTGTGTCCACGTGTTACCTACTTCCTGGGAATGCCTGTAGGTGCCCTTCTTTTTTAGTCTACTGTCCCATCAGTGCAGGTGCTCCTAATGCTGGCTTGGACGATAGTCACCTTGCTTGTCTGGCTACCTGGAGAAGTCTTTGTTTCAAGCCACTGGAAACAGTGCTGCTAAATTAATATTCCTAAAGCACACTCTGAAACCTTCCATGGCCCTGATGCCTACCAAGTACATATATCTTACTGCAGAGTACAAGGCCCTACACATAAATAGCCTGTTTCAACCCTACCTTTCCTACCTCTCTATTAACACCCTATGTTCTCTCCAAATTAAACCACTTCTAATTCCCCAATCATTTTTGATACTGTGCCTTCGCTTGGATGTTAGAGTTTGGAAATCTTTGCCCTTCTCCTATCCTCACTCCACTCAGGACACCCAAACTTCTGCTTGTCAAGCTCCTACCGCACTTCCAAGGCTCCTCTTAAATGCTACCTCTTCCACGAAGCCTTTCCTGATTTCCTCTTGTGTATTTCTCAAGCTGTTCCTCATTTTCTGCTTTAACTGGTTTACTGGTTTACTGGTCTTAGCTCCCATGATATTACACTGTGAGCAAGTGAAGGCCTGCTTGTGTCTGCCCAACTCTGCATTTCCTGCCATGCTACTACACATCATAAGGAAACTCAAATGACCATCACATTTTATTGCTATTACCTGCTCATAGTAAAATTCACTCCGCACCAGCTCATTTTCCTCCTCATTCAGATCCAGAATCCATTCCACCTCAGCTGCTTTGGGGACTCTCACCACAGCTGAGTATGGAGGGCTTTCACTCTTGGGGCTGTCTGGTGCTGAGAAGACAAATGCCGTTCATGTGTCATTCACTGGCCGGTAGTCCAGTCTAGCCCAGCCCAGGGAGCCACGAGCTGCAGGCAGATCCTTGCCTGATATCTTAGGGCCCTTTCTCTCCTTTTGGTCCCTTTTATTTCCTTTAGGAGACCACCTTGGGTACCTCAAACTTTCTTCCCCAGGCACAGACCTGGAATGAGTGTTACAATGTTTGTCACACAAACTTGTTGCTTCACACGAGAAACTCTGAATGCTGCATGCTTCCCAAATGGAGGGATGAGCCATTGGCTACTCTAAAAACTAACCTGCCCAAACTATTAATAGTGATTACCAAGGGGAAGGAGGGAGCATTAGAAGGCAGGATGGTGGTGAAGGGAAACCTAGTGGGGGAAGAAAGAGAAATAAGTTACTAAAAGTTAAGGACCAAATTCTTTGGCTGCTGGCCTTCTCGATGCTGGAAGCTAATGGGCCAGTGTGATAGGTTACTATGATGACAAACCTTAAGGGAAATAGCCTGACAGAAATGCCAAGGATTTTCTTTGGTCAACCTGTTGGACTGAGTTGCCATTGAGGGTGTCAGTTGCAGCAGATATGCTGAAGGAAGAGCCAACTTGAGCACAGAGACAAAAAGTCATAGGGAGGGAATTCCCTGGTGGTCCAGTGGTTAGGACTCCACGCTTTCACTGCCGAGGGCGTGGGTTCAATCCCTGGTCAGGGAACTAAGATCCCACAAGCTGGGTGGTGTGGCAAAAAAAAAAAAATAAGTCACAGGGAATGTGATTCAGTCTTACCTCCTGGTTGTCCTGGATTCTCCTCTGGCGCACTGGAAACAGAGAAAGAAAAAGTGAAATGCTTGAATCCCTCCTCCTGCTCTTTGTTTTGAGCTTAGTGTATAGCACTGACATTTACAGTTACTCAAATGAGATTATCAGGGAATCATCCAAAACTCTTTTCTCTCCCTCACCTGTCACAGCCAACCACTTACCATTTCTTGCCCGTTCCATTTAAAATACCTGTTTAAATGTCCGCATCTCTCTCCTCATCCCTGCCTCAGAGAGGGCCCTCATCATTTAATGCTAGAGCCTTTGCAATAGCTTCCCAATTGGTCTCCTTGGTTCTACCAAGCTATTCTCTACTTTGTAGGTACAGCAAGCTTTCAAAAATGCAAATCTGGAGCTTCCCTGGTGGCGCAGTGGTTGAGAGTCTGCCTGCCGATGCAGGGGGCATGGGCTCGTGCCCCGGTCCGGGAAGATCCCAGCCTCGGAGTGGCTGGGCCCGTGAGCCATGGCCGCTGAGCCTGCGCGTCCGGAGCCTGTGCTCCGAAGGGGGAGCGACAAAAATGAAAGGGGCACGGATCCCAAAAAAAAAAAAAAAAAAAGCAAGTCTGGCCATATTATGCTTCTGCTTAAAATTCTTTTATCAAATTCTTTGATAGCTCCTCAGGGTACAATATTCCACATTTGCAGTTCAGCAGACAAAGCTCCTTATGGCTTTGCTGCCTCTTGAGACCATCTCCTACCACCCATGACCTCTACTCAACCCATAAGAGTCCTCCCCACACTGCTACGGGCTCTGATCAAGTTCAGTTGGTGCCACCAACCACTAAATCCCAATGTCACAAGCCAGAGCCCAGGTCTATCACCTGCACGAGGAGCCTTCTGGTCAACCCCAGCCCGTGCTGTCAAAGAGCAAGCTCCAAGCCTCTCTGCCATTCCCTAGGTCCTCCCAGCTCAGCTGCTAGCCTCTGAGTCCAGAACCTTAGCCCATCACCTACCTATTTACACTTCCTCAAAGGACCCACATTTTCTCCTGCCCCTACCTTTGCAGTTGTTACTCCCACTTTTGGGCATGCTCTGTTTCGGCTTCTTTTCCTACCAACTTCTCATCCTCTAAGTCTCAGACCAAGTGCCACACCTCGAGAAAACCCTCCTGATCACTGGGCTAAGCTGGGTGTGTCTCCACACTGCACTTACCCAAGGGCCCTGTGGTCTGTGTTTTGGCTGTCTCCCCACTAAAATGGGGGCTCCTCGAGGGCAAAGTGATTATTGCTCAGTGATTGCTGAATGAAAGAATCCTCACTGATACCAACTGCTCATTTCTAATCTCAGCAGTATGATAAATGGGTAATTTCCCTGTCCCCCACCCAGAGGGAGGCAGTGGTATGCCAGGGTCACAGAAACTGTGGTATGAACACGGCACGTCTTCCTTCCTATCAGGTCAGTAATCACCATGGTAAATAATGTTAAAAAAATGTTCCTAGTAAAAGAAACAAAAATGCTGCTGAGCTATTGGGCAGAATGTAAAATCCCTTTAAGTCTGTTAGTAAAACATGAAGAACTCAAAGTGATTTTGCTCTTGGAGAGCTGCTTTGGCTCCTATTCCCACATGCTCTAGCAGTCTTAGTTTCACCCTCCTCTGCTGCTAGAAGTAGTAGAAAAAACTGAGCAATACTGGGCTGGCAAACACAGTCTTGACCTGTCTTGCCAGAGGCACGAGCAGTTTCTGAGGCTTGTTCCCAGCTGAACTGTGCACAGGAAAGTGTGTGGGCTCTTCTAGTTGTGGATAACAAGCCAGAATGATGAGCTCAGTGAGAGCTGATGCAAGTGAGCCCCCAACATTCAGTGTCTTTTGGAGTCCAGCTGAGACCAACTGAAGTGAGAGCGGCTGGAAAAGAGGTGAGGTTGTTGGCAAACTAAGATCCACGGCCTCAGTTAGGGGACAGGCCCATGGCCTCAGTTAGAGGACAGGCCAAAGAACTAAGTGTCCTGATCCCAGAGAGAACATCATGTAAGAGCTCTGATCTCTGCTTCTACTCATTCCTACTTCCTCTCTTAGAAGTCTCTCTGACCAGGGTCAAACATTACACTGTAGAGTGAATGGCATTTCAGTGTGAATGTGAAATGAAAACTTTCTGTAATTGCTCAGATTTGAGACGCTTTCCATAATCAGACCCCTAGGAGTGTCAGGACCCGGGGGAGGGTGCAGTGGTCAATAGCAGCAGCGGCCCCGCTGCAGGACACTCACTCTTTGTTGAAGTAACTATAGCACTGGTCACACACGCGAGTAGGGTTCTCTCTGCAGCCTTCCACCACCGTTTTCTTAGTGGAGCAGGAACTGCACACTAGCCGACCACAGCGGCGACAGTGATGACGCCTGTTAAACTGAGGAGTGTCATCAGGAAGAGAAGGAGGAGGGAGGAAGAGAAGGTGAGATTGCAGGACCTGTGAGCACCCGTCAATCCATTTATCCTTGGAATTAGCCACCTGTGACTTACTAAGAATAGCATGTGCTTGGGCCTCTACTGAGAAAAGAACACACAAATCCTTGCCTTCAAGAAGCTGACATTTAAAGATCTCTCTCATCTGATGGGCAAAGATGTCCAAGTCATGGACAGTTTTTCAATAGCTCCTGACAAGTCTTATCTGTCTGTGGAGGAAACATGTGAAGACACCGCAAAAAGCAGTGGGGAAGAAGTGATTTCTCAGCCAATGAGGATCACATGTCTACATGGTATTGATGATGAAAAAGTGTTCTTTTTTCAAGATGCTTTTACAAATACTGCCTTATTTCATCATAAGAGGTTGACAGATATATTACACCGCTTTTATGCACGAGGAGGAAACAGACACAGAGAAACTGCATCGTCATCCTGATCATCAGCTGAGCTGTTGTGCCAGCCAGGTACTGTGTGCAGGGTGGTAACATCTGTTACTGTAGTTAGTGCTTATAGCTCCATGAACCAAATAACCGAGCATCCCTAGTTTACAAGTGAGCATCTGAGACTGAGAAAGTTAATAGTCACATTGCTAGTAAGAGGCAGTGCTGGTATTAGAACTGAGGTCATCTGGCGCCAGCACATAAAACCATTACCAGGTCACCCGTCTTTCTGCGAAAGACACAGGAGCTAGAAACGAGATGCCCCAACATTTGGTGACTCCTCCCATGCAATACCACTCTGGCTCTTTTTATTTATTTCATGAGAATGGCAGAGATTTTAGAATTTAAGGCTCCTTGAGGGTGTCTACCATCTGTCTAAATTCAGAAAATATATTCTGGTCAGGTCAAAGGTAAACCCAGAGCCGCAGATCTGGTAGTCAGTTCTTCTGAACATACCCATATCCTCTTGGGGACAGGAGGTGACTATAAACTCAGGCTCAGGAAGTAGAGCTTTCCTTTAATTTCTCCTGCAGGTAAAGCCGGAGACGGACGCTGCTTACCATGGTGAAGCGCTCCCTGCAGCAGACCATGCAGGTGCTCTCGCTCTCATCCGGTACCCACTGGTGCCTGGCAGGGGGCGTTGCTGGGGGCACAAACTCCAGTGGCGGCTGACTCTGTGGGAGGCTCCTCTCCCTCGGACTGGGGGAATGCACAACGGAGACACCTGGGAGTCAAAGCCAGAAGTCAGAGTAAAAGGTGATCAGTAGTCCAGCTAATAAACAAAGAAGGGATGAGAGAGTTAGAACTGTACCACGTTGCAAACCCCTACTGATAGCATAGATCCAGTTATTGATCATCGATGGCTGACTGCAAAAAGAGCGTTGTGTGTCTCCTGATGGAAGGCACACGGCCACCTGTCAAATATACTAACCAAAAAATATTAAGCCTGAATCAAATCAAGCTTCTAGATCTATCTACCAGTGTACTGGAAAACACAGGGGACGGAGACCCAGATTGCCATGGGGTGACAATCAGCAAAATGCAGTGTGTGGGAAGCTCTAAAGGACAAATGACCTGGTTTCCTCCACAAATAAAAAGAGGTAGGGGGACCTACTGATTAAAACAGATTTAAGAGAGAGTTTAGTCGAATGCCATGTGTGGACATTATTTACATCTTGATTCTAGAAAGACCAATTCTAAAAAGAATCTTCATGAGACAACTGGGGAAATCTGACGAGTGACTGGATAGTTGATAATAATAAGGAATCATTAATTTGGTTTTAGGTATGAGAATGATGTTATGGTTTTGTTTTATAAATGTCCTTACCTTTTAGAGATATACCCTGTTTTATTTATAAACAAAATGGTATGATATCTAGGATTTGTTTCAAAATAATCCAGTAGAGGGACAGGGGTAAAGATGAAACAAGAATGGTCACACTGACATGATAAACATTGCAGCTGGGTAATAGGTATGTGACACTTCATTACACTGGTCTCTCTACTTTCGTGTACTGGAAACTTTCTGTAATAAAAAGTTTAAAAAATTAAGTAAACCAAAGCTGCTCAGGCTGCCTTATGCAGATTTGTGAAGCTGCTCATGTGCCTGTACGTCTGAGCCCTTCTGTCAGGTCTGCTGATTACTGCGAAGCATGGCTAATTCTCAAAGCATGGCCACGAAATGCCACGGTCTTTGTTTTATGATATCTAAGGAGATTTCTTGTCAACTAGCAGAACGATGTTGGCAGGTCACAGAAAAAGAGAACTGGAAAACACAGTGACTCTTAGCAGCACCCAGAAGACGACGGGCTGTCGACCTCTCCCCAGAAGTCTGCTCTCCTGTTGGCAAAACAAACACTTGCTGAGCTGCTTCTGAGTGTAGGCCATTGGGCAAGTCAGGAGACTGTGGGAGAAGAGGGGTGGTGAAAAGGGGTGACCAAAACATGGCCGAGGCCTTCAAGGACCTTGCACCCTGTGTGGGTGACAGATATAAATAACTACCTGCAGGACAGGGTCAGAGTGAACATAAGGACTTAAATAAGTCGATTCTCCTTATTAGTAGATTCCGTATTTGTGAAGTTGCCTACTCGCTAAAATTTGTTTGTAACCTCAATATCAATATTTGCATTGCTTTTGCAGACATGCACAGAGCGGTGAATAATTTGAGTTGCCTGGTATACAGCTTCTCATCTGGGGTTGAACAAGGTAATGTTTTGCCTTCTTATCTCAGCTCTCCTACAGAGATGACCAGAGGATGCAGACGGTAGGGGACAGTGCAGCAGGGTAGTGTAAGAAGCTCCGCTCTGGGGCTAGTTGGACAGGGTTTGAATCCCAAAGGCTCATTAGGCACTCATTAATGGGGTGGCTTCAGGCAGGTCACTTTAACACTCTGAACCGCTTTTTCTCTTTTGTAAAATAAAGAAAATAGAATTTACTGGGATGAATTGTTTCCAATTTGAGATTATAATGTATGTGAAATGTGTATGTGTGTGTGTGTGTGCGTGTGCGCGCATGTCCACACATGTAATCACACACACGCGTGGGCGAATTTTCCCTGGGAGCAATGGTTTAGTATTTGCTAATTCAGTGTTTGTGGAGCCTTCATAGATATACTACTGCGAATAATAAGAATCGATTGTATGTTGAATTTTCTGGGATACAAAAAGCTGGAAAGAATCAAGAAAAACAATTAATAAGAATGTTGTGACTGGAAATGAAAAAAGAAGCAAAAGAATCAGAAAATCAGAATAAGGCAAGATTGAACTGAAAAATGGGTAACTCTCAGAACCTGTCCTTACCAGGAGCAGCAACAGAAGAGAACTCCACTGACGGTGACCTAGACAAGGTCTCGAGGTCTGAAGCCGGACTGACAATTTCCTGGAGGTAAATCACAGGATCTGTAGGGAGGGAAAATGTCGACAGATTGTTCTATCATAAACATCCTTACTTGCTGTGCTAGGCATTTACTTCAAAGCCCTGTTGGTTTCGCTGTCATCCCATGACTCTACTAGGTATGCAAAGAATGGCAGAGGTACTTCTAAGACGACAGCAGGCATGCTTCTTAAATGCCTCAATAAACAAACTGTGTTAGGCACGTGAGATAAATGAAGTAGACACTAGGATTTTACAAAATAAATCTAAAGATGCCCAGGGGGAAGTAGAAGACATTTAAATGGTGGTCCTGGAGGGTAGGGAGTAAGAAAAAAAAAGCTGGCTGGGAACATCAGCCCCCATTTATTTCATTTTCTTCATTCTAGAAGAGGCTGAGTCAGTTCCCACACTAGTGACATCTGATGTGATCCTGGGAATAGCGCATACCCTCAGTACAAAATGATGGCACTTAAGAGCCCAGTGCACCAAGGCCAGACAGAGACCACCCCCAGCGTGTTTTTCTGTTTTTATTTATTTTTGGCTGCTTTGGGTCTTTGTTGCTGCATGCGGGCTTTCTCTAGTTGCGGCGAGTGGGGGCTACTCTTCGTTGCAGTGCGCAGGCTTCTCATTCCGGTGGCTTCTCTTGTTGTGGAGCACGGGCTCTAGGCACGTGGGCTTCAGTAGTTGTGGCTTGCGGGCTCTAGAACGCAGGCTCAGTAGTTGTGGCGCACGGCTTAGATACTCCGCGGCATGTGGGATCTTCCCAGACCAGGGATTAAACCCGTATCCCCTGCATTGGCACGCGGATTCTTAACCACTGCGTCACCAGGGAAGTACCCCCCAGCATGTTTTTTTCCTCGAAGCTTTATATTATTATGCACGTGGTGGTTATCTACCATCCTTTCATTCTGGTTAGCCTGCCACTTCCTCTAAGACTGAGATCTCTCCTATATAAAAGAGCTCTCTCTCCTGAAGTGTATCCTTTCACTCTCAATCAACTCAAAATTATAAAAGAGGAAAAATGAAAATAAGGATGTAGCACGGTATTTCCTTCTCCATGTAGAACCCCCATCGAGGATGCTGGCGGTTACCTGAGCGCTTCTCCCGCAGAGGGTACAGAAAGTCCAGGGCTTTTCCTGCGTATCTGGAAAGCAGTGAATCCACCTCGTCCACGGTGAAGCCAGCCTCCCGGCCAGCCAGCAGCTGATGCAGGGTCTGCACAGCCATGGTGGCCCAATCCACTTTCATGTTCATGAGCAGCTGCTCCAGCATGAGCAGGGGGTTAGAGGACAAGTGGGAGTAGCTGGCCCGGTACTGCTCGGGCAGGGTTAGCAGGACCTGGGTGTGGGGCAGAGCCACAGAGTGAAGAAAACAGGACATGAATTTCAGAAGAAAGCCAAGATTCTTACTGGGAAGGGGGAAGGGTATCTGGGACCAAAGGGCACTTGGCCAGCTACTGAAACTGGCTAGGAGTCTCTTAGGAAGCAAGGCTGGCAAACTTTTCCTGTAAAGGTTTAAGATAGTAAATATTTTAGGCTCCATAGGCCATAAGGTCTTTGTGGCAACTACTGATTTATAAAACCTGATTTATAAAAGCAGGCAGAGGACTGGATTTGGCCCACAGGTGGTGGTCTCCTGACCCCTGGCCTAGACCAACCAGGCATGGTTGACCCCTGCCTGATCCTTAAAGCCACCATTCTGTCCATTTGAGGCTTTACTAGAATAAGCAATATAAGGTGGGCTAAACCTGGCACCTCCAGTGTTCTACAGGTGAATGATGACTCTAAATTCCTCCTAGAGGCTGTTATTCCTGGGCTTGAAATACATTCACTGGCTCTTCTCATTGCCAATTTTCAAAGATTCCATTTAGGTACAGTACATCCAAAAAAAAAGAAAAAAAAGAAGAAAAAAGGTGTATCCTCTTTAGAATCATTTTACATAGTTGAACTCTTAGCAAGTAGGCTAGTGGTCATATTCATGGCTCTCCCAGCACTCATTCTATTCATGGGGCAAGTTCTACACTTAGGGGGCCAGTATATATGACTTCCAATCAGAATCATTATTAGAGAGTTAGAAGGCCTTATCTCTCCCCAAACTCTCCTTCACTGGATTACTTTTTCTAGCTTATAATTTCTTCTATTAGTGTCTCCAAGGTTACACATCAAAGGTAAAGACTTATCTCATTGCCTAGACAATTAACCCTTTTCCTTTAGCACAAAGTAGTTTTAAGGATTTAAAGCAGTTTTAAATCCTCGCATCAGAATCCTTCTGGAAGATAGGCAGGCCCTGTCCCAAGGGGTTCGGTTTTAATTACTCTAGGGTGGAGATTAACTACTGCTATTTTTAGAAAGTCCAGGTGATTCTAATTCATGGTCCGAATTGAGAAGGCTTGGTATAGCAGATGCCAAGGAAAGCATAAAGAGAATTTAAGAGGACAGTAAAATTCACTTTGGAGGCAGAGCAGTAAGAGAACGGTAAGTCCTAAGGGATGTGGTGGGCTGTTAGGGTCAAGATTTTATATACCACAGGTCAAGGATGGCAGGTGCCTGGAAGGGCAAGTTCTGAAGTGGGAGATGGGCCAGCAGTCCCTCCCTCAGGCATGCTTTCCCAACACCCCCTTCTCCTCCTGACCTTGGATCCCATGTACAGTGCTTGGATTTCACGGTGTCGGTCTGCGGTCAGTTCTCCATAGAAGTGGGTGGTGAGGTAGTTGGCCAAGAAGTGAGAAGTGGCCAAGCTAGAGTGCTGGTCGAGGGACTGCTCTGTGACCTCAAGGCACATGGTGAGGTCAGGAATTCTTCGCAGGAGCTGTTGCAGGAGGAAGGTAGAGGAGAAAGGTGAGACCTGTAGAAGAACTCTTAGAACAGCCTTGTTTTGTTTGAGAACAGAACCTTCAGGTTTAGTCACTGTGGATTAACCCCTTCTCTGCACTCATTTTTTCACCACCCCCAAAGCTTCACAAATGATGGCTTTGACAGGACCAGAGATCAGCAGAGTCTTGGACCCAGATGCCCATCTGGCCCCAATGCAGGGCTAGGCACCTATAGGGAAGGTGACTATAACCAGCTCCTGAAGGACACGGAGGGGCAGATCTGACACTGCGAATGCTTTGCATGGGATCCAGCAGGAACAGAGCCACCTGCTTTGACTAACCTTCTCATCCCCTACCAAAAGAAAACTGGGAAGAGTTGGAGGCTTACCTGCAGAGCCTTTTCATGATCGCCTCTTTCTAGAAGGTGGAGAAGATGCTTTTGATGTAGGTTGATTAAATGTTCTCTTGGAATGGGGTATAGGCAGCCCCACTCCTCACACAGCTCATACTCCTGGAAGGAAACACACATGCCTTCAATCCCTTTAAATTCCGGGCCTTGTCACTCATCCAGCTCTTGCCTGATTTTTCTCAGCAGTCTTGAGTCTGCTAAAGCCCCAGGAAAGTTTGGGAAGTGCTGATGGGAACTTCACTGTGGGATTAAAGTGGGATCATAAAGGACTAGAGTGGCAAGGTAAGTTATGAAAATGATCCAAGTAGGCTGACTGTTCAGGATGTCCTTTTTCTTTTAGCTCTACTATAATAAAGAAACAGATGACATACAGCTACTGACACTCGGTGTCAGCCCTGGGAAGATACTAAGGAAGTGGACCAAAAAGACTGTCCAGAGGAGACAGTGCCTGCTCAGCTCTCACTGTTGCCATATGAATGTGCAGGCCCAGTGGTGCCAGACTTTTAAAAATGCCAAAAAAACTTTTTTAATTAAAAAAATTCCTATTTTACAATGTTGGCAACGAAATCAATATGAAAACTAAAAATTCTGCAGAGCAATACTACATGGGCCAAACAAACATGTTGGGGTTGGATTCCATTGATATCACCCCTTGTTACTCCCCCTTCCAACACCAAATTTGTGAACTCTGGATTAAAGCTTCCCAGAGCTTTGTCCATGTGTTCTAATATGATGGCATCTGGAAGGCCCTCCCCACAACTCTGCCTGGGGCCACCTTCTTCAGGATGCTTCCTTGTTTCTTGGGCTGTCTTAGGCACCTGGCTGTGCCCCACCTTAGTCTGGGCTTTACTTCGGTCACTTGGTATATCGCAATCACCCAGGGATGTGTCTCACATCGCCCCGCCCTGCTCCCTCCTTTCCCAAAATGTGAGCTGCACAAGGGCAAGGACTAAGCTTAATTATCTTTGTTTCAACACCATCCAGCGCAGTGGTAAATAACAGACAGTCAGTAAAGGTTTCCCGGATGAATGAACATCTAAATAAATACATCTCATTTTGAACTATGGTATATCAGCTCCTTAAAGGGTAAAAAAAGTCTCCTTAGCGCTCAAATGTCCAATAAACACATGAAAAGATAATCAAGGTCATTAGTAATCATGGAAATGTAAATTAACACCATAATGACATGCCATCTTATTGGCAAAAAAGTGAAAAGCTGGACAATGCCAAAGTTGCTAAGAAGATGGAACAACAGGAACTGTGAGTGGGAGAATAACAGGGACAGGGCGACGGATCTGAAGAGCAATGTTGTAACATCTTCGAAAAGGTGAGGATGCTCATGCCTCATGATCCAGCAATTCCAATGCTAGGTATACATTCTGTACCTAGTGTAAACAGTGTAGGAAATCTTGTGTATGAAAACAAGGGTGATAGTACAAAAGTGTCAATTGTATTATCCTCTATTCTTCTAGGTATGTTGGTAAATTTCACACACACAAAATAGAAAAAAAAAAAGTGTTATGTAGTTATAGAAAAAAATGTGAACCTTGATAAGTGGAAAGAGGTCTACATAACCAGCTAAGGAACAGCAACTCTGGAAAGAGGAGGAAGGGGAATAGTACCCAGGAAAATGGTACCTTGGCTTCTAGAATCACATTCATGACAGTTGATGGGTCCTCGACACAACAGTTCCTCAGGGTCTGCCAGTCACACCACATGGGGGTAGCCTGCAAACCTAGAATCTAAGGAAAGACAGAAAAAGCTATCAAACCACACTGCAATTACTCTGCTCAGGAATAAGTCATTGGAGTTTCCAGGGATGGGCCATCCCCAGGTCTCTGTCCCAAAGTCAGGCTGTCAGAACTTGCCAGGACAGAGGAGGGATTAGAACGAATGGGACAAAGAGTGTTTGGAGAGGTGAGAGAACCTATCCAGCAAGTATAATCAGGGAGCAAAGGCTGAGTGGGGAGGCCAGGATTGGGGCCTTTCACTTGGAGGACAATCCTCAGAGGCTTCTGTGCTTTGCAGCTTGTTCAGTCTCCTGGAGTCACTTGTCCCCTGCCCCTCCAGCTCAAAACTCTAGACAGGTTATTCTTCTGTCCTGAATGCTCTGTGGGATCACCCTTCATGCAGCATTTTAGCTCTGCATGAAAAGTGCTATGGAAGAGTGGAAAGAAAATCTTTTTCACCTGCCACTTTCCCTTTCCCTGGTTGGGCTCTGGGCTCTGTTCAGTTCCAAGCACACATGGAAAAATTAGCATATATGTATACTTGTTATGTAGCTGTACCATCGAAATCTGTCTTCCTGAGCCTCTTGATCTTGAATATGACACATATATCCAAAAATTTTTCACTGTGAAACTGTCACTCTCATGCATCCCTTTCAAAATGGCTCTTGAAATTTAGCTGAAGTTTAAAACAATCTTTAAAAAAGACATAAGAGATTAAATTCTATAAAAACTCTTGAACAACAGGACACAATATACATAAAACATACAGAGAGCTCACATATACAGGGATACCTTGGGGATACTGTGGGTTCAGTTCCAGACCACCACAATAAAGTGAATATTATAATAAAGTGAGTCACACGAATTTTTTGGTTTCCCAGTGCAAATAAAGTTATGTTTACATTATACTGTAGTCTATAAATTGTGCAGTAGCATTGCCTACAAAAAATGTACATGCCTTAATTAAATATTTTATTGCTAAAAAATTAGTTTTAGCAATTAATTTGAGCATTCATCTAGTTATAATGTTTTTGCAATAGCAACATCAGAGTTCACTGATCACAGGGACTTCCCCGGTGGTCCAGCGGTAAAGAATCCGCCTTCCAATGCAGGGGACGTGGGTTTGATCCCTGGTCAGGGAACTAAGATCCCACGTGCTGCGGGGCAACTAAGCCTGCGTGCCACAACTACTCAGCTCGTGCGCCTCAACTAGAGCCCACGAGCCGCAAACTACAGAGCCCACGCCCTCTGGAGCCTGCGTGCCACAACTAGAGAAGAAAAAAACCTGCACGCCACCACTAGAGAGAAGCCCATGCACCACAATGAAGAGCCTGCACGCTGCAACAAAAGATCCCGCGTGCTGCAACTAAGACCTAATGCAGCCAAAAATAAATAAATAATAACTAAATCTTAAAATATAGTTAAAAAAAGAGTTCACTGATCACAGATCACCATAACAAATATAATAATAATGAAAAAGTTTGAAATACTGTGAGAATTATCAAAATGCGACACGTAGACATTAAGTGAGTTAAGTGCTGTTGGAAAAATGGTGCCAAGAGACTTACTTAATGCAGCGTTGCCACAAACCTTCAATTTGTAAAAAACATAGTATCTGCAAAGTGCAATAAAGCAAAATGCAGTTAAAAAAAAAAGGTGTGCCTGTACATATGAAAAAGGCATTGTGGACTGTAAAGCACCATTCTAGTGTTAATTTTATTATTAATTTTTAATCCTTGTCTGACATGTACATATTTAAAATTATAGGAGTAAATAAAATAGGAAACAGATAGAGGCTCCCTCGCTCTTCACCTAAGAACGGAAGCCAGATACAGAGCAGAAGCAAGATACAGAGCAAAAGCCAGCCCCAGATTTTCTGTTTCTTAAAATCCACCATCGGGCTTCCCTGGTGGCACAGTGGTTGAGAGTCCGCCTGCCAATGCAGGGGACACGGGTTCCCGGTCCGGGAAGATCCCACATGCCGCGGAGTGGCTGGGCCCGTGAGCCATGGCTGCTAAGCCTGTGCGTCCGGACCCTGTGCTCCGCAACAGGAGAGGCCACAACAGTGAGAGGGCCGCGTACCGAAAAAAAAAAAAAAAATCCACCATCACATGAGAATAGGCTGGAGTTGGTAATAAGGTGAGAAGGCTATTTCCTTTCTCTTGATGCCGAATCCTATACCTTCTGATACACCAGCAGCTCTGCTAGCTTTCTCTGTAGTTCACACTCCAGCCCATCTTGGAGATCTGTGTCTGAAATGCAGTAGGCCAGGATCTCCAGGCATGACTCCAGGGGCCACCGGTCCACAAACTGCAGTGTTAGCCGACTTCTCAGAGATGCATCCTTCACAGCAAACAGGTACTGCCAACCTTCTTTGACTACAAGACAAAAAGATGCTCAGCAAGGCTGGCGCCGGAGCTCAAGAGTCCAGGTTACTTCTTAAGAGAAGGGCTTTGTTCAGTTTCACAAAACAGGAGCTTGGAGGATCCTGAAGATCCTTCTGACCTGAATTAGTTTTTACACTTGGAACACTATAGGAGAAATACTATACCCTGTTTCTCTTTATGCAAATGTAATCATAGTCACGGGACTTTCTGAAGAGAGGGAGAAAAGGCGAAAGGAGAGGAAAAAGGAAAGATTTTCTCCACTCCCCACAGCCCGCCCAGCTCCTGCTCCCCCTAGTGGACAGCTGTAGGTCATTGCTCTCAACTCTGGGTACACATCAAAGTCTCCTGGGGAGCTGTCAAACAGGCCCAGGGTCTGTTTTTATAAATAAAGTTTTATTAGAATACAGCCACGCTCACTCGTTTATGTATTGTCTATGGCTGTTTTCATGCTATGATGGCAGAGCCAAGTAGTTGCAACCGAGCCTGTATAGCCTACAAAGCCCTTTACAGAAAAACTTTCCTGACCCCTACTTTAAAGCAAACACTTGCCTGAACCCTATCATGGGCTTCTGTAAACGGGGCTCTTATATTTGTAGTTTATAGAATTTCACAACGATTCTGCCATGCAGGGTTGAGAATATTGGTTATGAGTGCCTGTCCTAAAGTTCGATGGAGTTGGGTTCTAAGCTCTGCTCTACCACTGACTATCCTGGGCAGTTTCCTACCCTCTGAGCCTCGTTCGCCTCTCAGTATCATGAGATTATGGTGGCACCTTTCTCTAGAGTTACTGTGAGCATCAGATGCGGTGATCCACTCAGTGAATGCCCAATACTATTACCACTGGTGAAGGAGGGAGGCGCGGCTTTCTGCTCACCACCTGCCGCAGCACAGCTCAGGACCGCATCCTGTATGCTGCTCAAGTCGTCCACATCTCGCCCGTACACTTCAGTGAGCTGAAGGGCCCGGTGCCAATCGCTGGCCACCAGGGCTTCCTCGAAGGCCTTGGTGAGCACATCCAGGGCTATGGGAGAATGCAGGCCCAGGAGGACGGTAGAGAGACTGGCCCGGCCGCAGAGACCCGCTGCCAGACTCTGCCCCTGCTTGGAGGACCCTCGTAGGGGCTCCCAGGCAGCTAGGAGGGAGGCCTCAAGCATAGGGAACTGTTCCAGGAGGCGCTCACACTCCTGGGCTACCTGCTCTGCAGTCAGAGGCACCTCCCTGCGGCCACGAAGCTCCTTCCAAGACAAGCCGGGCTTGGTGATCTTTGACCCCTGGGAAGCCCCCAGACAGGCCACGGTAGCCAGCAGCTTTGAGCGGGACTTAAGGAAGGCCAAGGCAGAGGAGGTGAGGGCTGGGCCTGATGAATCCCTCGGGGAGGAGGGGGGCTTTCTCTCCAGCGTGGGATTCTCAGTTGGCTTTGAGGAGCTCAGTGTAGAAAGTGGGAGGTCCTCCAGGCAGTGGGAGGTATGCAGCTGGGTCAGAATGCCCAGCTGGGTCAGAAGGGATGATGTCTGCTGGCTCTGACGGGAAGAGCAAAGGGCAAGGGGCTCACAGCAGCAGTTGACAATGACCTGTGGCACACTCAGGCTGAGACCCTCTCGGGCCAGAAGGGCTGCCAGCCTGGAGGGAGAGAAGCAGAGGGCACGTAAGGCCTCAGTGCCTGGGCACCATCACCCAATCTCAGAATTTCTTTATGTGTAAACAAGCAAATGTAAATGCAGACTCTCTAATTGTTCCCCCTACCCCTTCTCTTTTTAACTCAAAAGGCAGCCTATTGGACCCAATTCTCTGCCCCTTGCTTTTTTACTTAATAACAAATCTGGGAGATCTGTCCATAGCCCTCTACAGAGAGGCCCCTCACTCTTTTTTTACAGCTACATAGTGTTCCATTATGTGGAAGAAACTGAATTTAACTAGTCTCCTATTAGCGGACAATGGCTATGCCATACAAAGCTATAATAAAATGACTTGGTACATACAGCATTTTTCATACTTATAACAAAGGATAAATTCCCCAAGGTGGACTGTTAGGTCAAAAATGTGGTTTGTCATTTTATATGGACAAACGGCCTTCCCACAGGGGCTGTACTAGGACAAACGGCCTTCCCACAGGGGCTGTACTCATTTATATCCTGCTGGCAATCTGTGAGAACGCTTGTTTTCCTACAGCCTCGCCAACTAATGTGTTATCAAAGTTCTGGATTTTTGCCTACTCATAAGTGAAGAGTCCCCTTAATCTTATACTTGCAATATAAACATTAGAGGTGGAGAGAGAGAAAGAAACGAGGTACACTGAATTTTAATGTAGCTTGTATAAGAGTAAATGCAAATTAAGGGAAAAGTCTGGAAGAAATCTCAACCTCCTGTATTGAACTCAAACACAGCCCCACTGAGCCCTTGGTTTCCTTGATGAACAATTAGGAAGGCCCAGGCCTGGCTCCTACCTCTCTGGGGGAACTTGTCGCTCAAGCAGGAGGTGTGACACCAGTTGGGAAGAGCTCTGTTGCAGGAGAACAAAGGGGTTTCCCACCTTGACCTCCACGTGATCTGCAAAAGTAAAGAAAGTGATCTTTACACCACTGATTGCAACATTCAGAGCGCTGTTTTCCAGAATCAATAAAAAAGTAGTGTCAAAACTACATGGAAAGCCCTTCTGTTGATACTTTTCTAGGTAAAAGGTATTCCTGACATGATGCTGACCACAGGTTTATCTACGCCTTACCACTGTTCTAAAGACTTCCAACTACAGACAGACTTCAGTGAGCAGGCCTAGCCACAGACAGCCCAGACTGCTCCTTCGATATGACTGAAGTGTAGGTAATACTCGCTCTGCGGACTTGAGTAAGAATCTGGCACTCGACTCAGAGACTTAATTCCCCTGGTGGGTCCTCATATCCACAATAGATCGAAGATCTGGGAGAGGTAGTTTTGAGTCATTAATGCCATCAAAATGTATTGAATACTCTCACGTGCTGTACCATTGTACGAGGCATCAAGGAGACAAAGGTGAATAAAACACAGAGGTGAATAAGAGAGGACCTCATACGTAGTGTCCTCGGCTACTGCTGTACCCAGAACCTCTTCAGTGTGCGCCTTCCTCTTCCTTGCCCCTAAACACTTGTGGGCCAGTCCTGACTCTATTTTCTCTCTTGCTACTTACCAGGCTCAGAGCTCAAACTCCGCAGGAGAACAGCAGCCAGGGTGCTGCAGTACCTGAAGAAGGTGCCCATGTAGTCAGTCTGCCTGCCGCCTGCTGGCGTCTGTTTGCCCAGGTTCTTCTGGAGGAGCTGAGTCTGGATATACACAGGGTGGGCCTCTGCCTCCAGGGCTTTCCCGGCCACCTGCTCCACCAGGGAGGTGAGTGGAGTACTCCTGGGCTCTGGGAAGAGTTATGAAAGGAGAAAGCACGTAGTGTTGAGTCTGTGCATCTGGCTTTGGGTCAGTTTCCAAACAATATGGGAACTAGGCCTCTGTACACTGCATGGGACATCCTATAGCCTGGCTGCTACGCTGACAAGGCAGTTATAAAACCCTAAGTTGGTTGCTTATACAAGTGATTCTCAGCCAGGAAGAGCTTTGAGTCTGGAGAAATCAGGGTGGAGAGTTCCATTTTCACCCATGTCTCGGGTGGAACAGCTCTGTGAAGCTCACAGCACTCTTTTGCGGAAGGGTTAATCAATGTTTACGGAGTCCCTTCTGGGTGTATCTCTCATAAGGAATGAGGAAAATGTGCCAGCTAATGAAGTGCTAAGCAGCCCTTCACTTAGGAGGTGGGGAAGCAGGTGGAATTAGTTACGAGACAGGCCCTGGTTAACTAGAGGGCTGGTAGGGCCCACTTCTGAGTCCTCAGCCTCTGCTCCAAAGTACTCTTTCCCGTTCCACTGTGTCCTCTCCCCATTTCAACCTCATCTGCTCCCATGCAGTCGGGCCTGTACCTGGCAGCTGTAGTGCTTCTCTCAGTGACTGAAGGATCTGCTCCAGCTGCTGGGAGAGGGTAGTGTGGCTAGCGACACAGTCCTCGGTGAGGCTGGGCCAACACATCTGAAGCAGCTCAGCAATGCTGCACCGTGGGGGACCTCCCCCCTTTTCCTCTACACTCTCTACGGAGAGCAAATGAGAAAGAAAAAGTGAGGTCTGATGCTGACCTCATGTTCCGAGGCTGGGAGGTTAAAAGGGGGTAGTAAAGCAGCTCACCTGGTTTGATTTGTCCGGCTGACAGAAGTGGGTAATTGAGAATCTTACTGATCTGCTGAAGAACGCTTGGAAAACCTCGAATGCCATCAGCACTGAGGAATACGTGGTCTAGCCGGCGACCTGGAAACAGGATGAATCGAGAAGGAATGCAGAAAAATATAAGGTACTTTCAGAGATTGACACTCAGTCCTGTATTTACTTGTGAAGTTTTATCTTCTCCAATATTGAGGAAGAAACATACGCTGTGCCATTTTTCATGACAGCCAGCATACTGGGCTTATTCCATGCCCACTGTTCCAGGGTTACCTCTGGCAAGATGCCTCAGCTGTCCACAGCAGCAGACCCAGAAGCTCTGGCATTCCTAGGGAATCGCTGTCCCAAGCTGATCAGGCACTTCTTGTGCATTTGCCTTGGTACTTCCTTCAGCTGAGAACTTGAGCTGGGATCTTATCTGTATCTTGACACCCTGACTAGACTATAAATAACTTTATGGACAGAGATTATTCCTCATACCTCTCCTGTACTCCCATATACTTGGGATAATCTGGAAATGCAGTAGGTACTAAGTTAATTCCTGATTGATTGGCATGAAACCAGTCAGCTTGAATATTATTAATAGCTTGGATAATATTTCCATTCATTTTAGAATATAAGTACTAGATGAGGGAGAGGGAAACTGTTCGATAAAAACAGCATTGTGTATGCCACGGCATACTTTCCTAGAAGGACTATGTCAATGTTAAAGGACTTTTAAATCAACAGCTCAGAAGTGATTTGGAAGGGTGTGCAGAATAGAGTTATCACAGCAGGCCTGAGACTGCTATCCTTAGAAAGGGCTGCTTGCAAGGTTGGTCCCTGGTTGGTGTCTGTGAACTTGACTGGTAAACGGTTTCCTACACTGATATAACACTTTCTCTAAATGATGAGAGCGACTGATTGTGCCTAAACTGTTTGTACAACGTGGTTTATGCTGAACACCTGCCTTCCTCCTGAGAGCCTGGAATTTTGGTACATGCTGGGCAGAGGGTCCCTCTGTCACCAGCTCCCAATAAAAACCTTGGGCACTGGCTCACTAATGAGCTTCCAGTAGACAACACTTCACACTTGTTTGTTGTCACAACTCATTGCTGGAGGAGTTAAGCACATCCCGTGTGACTCCAGTGGGAGAGGACTCTTGGAAGCTTGTGTCTGATTTCCTCCAGACTTTACCCCATGAACCTTTCCCCTTTGCTAATTTTGTTTTGTGTCCTTTTGATGAAATGATCCGTAGCCATGAGTATGACTATATGCTGAGTCCTGTGAGTTCACCCATCGAATCACTGAACCTAAGGGAGGCTATTCATATCATATCTATTCACCATTCCTTCCTCCATATTACTCAGAGAGAACATGTTTCTTTCTCTCTCCCTGGTCAGTCCTTCTAATGCTGGGTGTGTGTATCAAGGATGGGTGGGGAGCAGAACTTTGCCTAATTCTTTCTTCACATTCCTCTACCTTCATTCCTCCAAGAATTCCATGTACACATTCTGGGATATTATTAACCTCAAGGTACAATCCTCCCTCCAACTGTGATCCACTAAATTTTCCCTTATACCTGGTTTACAAGCTTGAGACTCAGGTTTTAGGTTAAGTGGGATTCACTCTGGAGGAGGTATGCAGTTTAAGGGCACAAATTCCATTGGTACCATTTTTGAATGTATATTTCTTCCTTGAATTTATCTATAAACCAGAAGAGAATTTCCCCAAATGACTGGAATTTGCTATATCTGTTAAGAAGGCGAGACTCTCAGTAAACTATATTTAAGTTGCCAGACCGGACATGAGGAAATGAACTAATAATCCTTTCTCCCCGTCCCTCCTTCCCCGATAACTTTCTTCTTGCACGATTATTAAGCATCTCAGAACCCCATCGCCTCATTTGAGAATTAAGGGATCAAGCAAAAGCAGCACACTCACCCCGACTCTCAAGGCTGCTGTTCAGGCGCCGTTCAGCAGTCTCCAAGAGCTGCTTGCCGGTTTTCCAGAGCTGGCACTGAGAGCAAGCCAGGTCAAATGCAGCCATGGCGGGGGGGCTGAGGTCTTCCAGAACCTCTCTCAGGGGGGCAGTGGGCTCCACTGGGCTATTGCTTATCCAGAAGTCCTCCTGGAGTGTGGGGATGGGGTCTCCCGAGGTGCTGAGCAGCTTGTCGGTCACATCAGAGATGGAGTAAAATACCATCCCTGGACACCCAGCAGTGGGATACAAGGCAAGAGGTTAAAATGACTCTCACTAGCACTTTTATTTTGAAAAGTAGTTATTTAAAAAAAATGTCTGAGGTCCTTCTGCACAGTATACCATCTATGCATATCAAGACCATCATTACAGCCCACTCTTACGGCATCAAAACAATGGCATGGAAAGAAAGACCAAGAGAAACTCAAAAAGGTGGAGTTTAGGTCCAAATGGGATCTAAAAGTAGGATGAAATGAGGCAGATCTGTGTGTGCTCATCAGAAAAGATCTCTAAGGTACATCACTAAACAAGCAAGGTAGAAAATAGTACTTGTTGGAAGAGCTCATTTATATTAAAAACAAAAAGGATGTAAAGAAAATCTCTGGGAGCTTATAGAAGGAGCAACAAGTGATGGTAACTTGATATATAGAGCCTAGACCAGCAAGAGATGTAAAAATATGGGACAAGATTCCACTTTCAAGAAATAATGAAAGGATGAGCCCTTTCTGCAGTGCAGCCAAGGGTGGGAATTGACATCTGTGAATCCCAGGCCACAGGTGTTAGATACAACTTCTTCACTTGCTAGAAAAGTAGAATAATATGCTTTATCCCTGAATGATTACATGGGAAGAAAATAAGCAATTCCCCACATCCCAAGATTAACGGCCATCAAAACACATGGTGGAAACTGCATTCACATTCTTCAGTGTAAGTCACGTGGGACAAGCTCGAGGGGCAGGTAAGTGACCACCGTGGTCGGCGAGGTTAGGCACAGCTAGAAAATGACTCTGGAGGTGTCAGGACTGCTGTTCTTCAAGGCAAGCGTCCTTCTCTAGGTTTCTGCTCACCTTCATGATGAGCCTCTGATTTGGGTGGTTTTTCCCCCATACCCTCCTCCCGCAGCTCCCTCACCACCTGGCAACAGGGAAGCCGGACCTGCGGCTGCAGCGCTGCCAATGGCCTGCAGAGTTGAGCGGCCACTGCCTGTTCTTCGGATGGTGCCACTACCCCCGTCCGAGTTCTGGTTTTCGATCTTGTGCTCTACTCGGGCCAGCTCCTGGATGACCTCCTGGTAGCGCTCCATGAACAGCAGCTCCCCGGAGCTGGGCGAGGACTTCAGGTTGAATGTGAACACCACCTGCCACAGGAGAGGAAGGAGTGTGGCTTGCGGCAGGCCCACTGAGGTGGAGAGTGTCTACAGATCTGAGATCTTGCTAGTCATCAGACTCTGGCCCTAAGACATCTGCTTTGTGGGGCTGGAAGAACACTGGACATTCAAAGAGTAGGTCAAATGTAGAAATAACTCGTAAAAGTCAGCAAGAGAGGCCACTGAAGCCCCAGCAGAAAATAGGCAAAAGATGTGGACAACTTCAAAGAGAAAATACACAGGACTAATACACAGGTAAAAAATGTTTTCCCTTCCCAGTAATTCAGGGAATTTAACATTAATACTACCTTGCATCTACCATAATGACAAAGTGTAAAAATAAACCCTCAGGGGGTGGTGGCGGAATGAACTGTCACAACCTTTTTGAAAAGCAATTTGGCAGTCTACAGAGCTTTAAAAATGTTTATATTCTTTGACTCAGTCGTTTTTATGAAAAACTTTCTTAAGGAAATCATTCAAAAGTCAATGTATAAAGGTGATAATCTTGACACTGTGCACTACAACTATTACCAGGTTGAAAATAAATGTGAGTTAACAGGGAATGGTCAAATGCAGCTACTAGATCAGCCTGTCATAAGGTCACTAAAATCAGTTACAGGCAAATGCTTATATTATAATGTAAAAAAGGCACTAAGTTTTAGATTCAAAATGATCTTGGCTCTATATAAAAGTCACATACATCTTGGAAAAACATTGGCAAAAATATGCTTTTATCTTTAGTATTGGTTGTTCTGGACAATAGGTTAAAAGTAATTTTAGGGCTTCCCTGGTGGCGCAGTGGTTGAGAGTCCGCCTGCCGATGCAGGGGACACGGGTTCGTGCCCCGGTCCGGGAGGATCCCACATGCTGCGCAGCGGCTGGGCCCGTGAGCCATGGCCGCTGAGCCTGCGCGTCCGGAGCCTGTGCTCCGCAACGGGAGAGGCCGCAACAGTGAGAGGCCCATGTACCGCAAAAAAAATTTTTCTTAAAAAGTAATTTTATTTTCTGGTTAATACTTTTTGGTATTTTCTTATAAATATGCACAACTTGCTCTGTAACCAGGTTTAAAAATAAAACTGTTTATCAAAAAAGAAAAACGAAAGAAAGAAAAGATCAAAGCCCCAGGAAAGGAAGAGGAAGTGAGGACATTTAGCGGTAAAGCATCAGGGGGCTCGCAACTGACTTCCTCTTGGTTTGGGTGTCAGAAAGGCTGGTGAGGGTCCTGTCCTTCCCAGAGGGATAGAATTATCATTATCATTAAAGTACAGGATTTAAAATGTGTCAGAGGAAGTTAAGTAAAAATTATCCAATCACCTAGATGTTTCCATGATTTATTCCTCAACAAGTAAACGCACATGAAAGAAAAATTCTGACCTATGTGTTAAGGGACCAGTGCAAGCGTCATAAATGTATCAAGAGAGTTTTAAAAACTAGAAGAGTGGGCTTTTATGCTTTTAAATTTAAGCAATAGCAAAGGATTCTTGTACTTCTCACAGCTTGCACATAATCCGCTTAACATTCCAAGAGGTAGCACAAGCAGGTATTATATTTAACTCCAAGTTTCAGATGAGGGCATCAAAGCTCAGAGGGAGTAGAGTCTTTCTGGTTTCGACTCCCTGCACTTTTCTCTACACAACATTCTAATTTGCTAGCTCCCTACACTTCCTGTATGTTAAACTGGCAATCTATTTATTATTAAAAATTGTTTGCATAGTGATTTCTAACTATGTGAAACCACATATGTGTTCAGAAAAGGACTACAAGAAACAAAAATATTTCAACGTCTTGACTGTGGCCAAATGTTTTCTTTTATCTTGTTAAAAAACTGTTTTATGTTCTGAATACAAACAGATGATTCAACAGCTTAAATCTCCTCCTTCTGGATCTTGAAATCCACAATGCTCAAGATCAGGCTCCATACATGGAAACTCCCTCCTGCTTCTGCTAGACGTGGCCCCTCAGGTGCGCCCGACTAGCTCTGCTTGCACAAGCATCTGGCTTTACCTGATGCCCCGCGGGTCCCAGACAGCAAAGGGCTACCTTAGCGTTCTTTACTGTGACAAAGTAGAGCCTAGGCTCCTAACACCTGCTGCACAAGTACCCGCCTCACCTGATGGGCTTCTGCAAAGTTCCCCCGGAGGATGCAGGATGCCAGCAGTGACTCAGGTGGGGAGAACATCATGCGGATGAGTGAACTTTGAGGCTGAGGCTGCAACCGGCCATCCAGCTCATTCTTCCCAGATGCAGTGCTCAGACTTCCCTCTGTCGGGACACAAGAATGTGGGGGGCCAAGGAAGGGATAGAAATTGAGGAAAAACTATTCTGTCACCTGCTGCCAAACTCCTATCTTCTCAAAGTCCTTCTCTAAAAGGTCTGTAAATGGATCTTGAATTTTCCTCAAATGAAGTGCATACCTATGCTATCTTTTTCTTTCTTTTTTTTTAAATTGAAGTATAGTTGATTTACAATATTGTGTTAGTTTCAGGTGTACAGTAAAGTGATTCAGTTATATATATATATATATATATTTATTTATATACATTCTTCTTTTTAAATTCTTTTCCATTATTGATTATTATAAGAAATTGAATATAGTTCCCTGTGCTATACAGTAAATCCTCGTTGTTTGTCTATTTTATATATGGTAGTGTGTATCTGTTAATATGTTATCATCTTTGAATATAAGACTTATGTACCAACAACCTCCCTCGGGTATTCACCTCTGTTTCTCTCTGCTGATGGGAAACTCAGCTGATAGTGAAATAGCCCTTTCCCCACTGAACACAAGCATGAACTGCTCAGTCCAGGTTTTCACACCGTGGTGTATGGCAACTCTTTATGAGGGCAAAGCTGCTGGAAGTTGGCAACTGGTTGGGACCCCCCCATACCTGAAGTACTTGTGCTCAGCTCACTATTTGTACTTTCCAGGGATGGGTTGGAACCTCTGTCCCGGCCATCTAGAGGTATCAGGAGGAAAGAGAGAAAATCAACCATCAGTGCCTTACAGTGTAGAAAGTGAGAAGTTGGCTTGAAAGCTGAGATCTGGGTAGAGTGAGAAGATAATGGGTAGCTACTATACCAGTGGCTCCTTTTACAGTAAAATGCAAATTCCTACAGACCAAAGGTACAGGGGTGGGCTTAATATGGTCCCAGTGCTCATTTGGATAGTAGCTTATATCAGTGATTTCCAGTCTCTGGGTCTCAGAGCCCCAGGAGCTTTCAAGTTACTTCTAGGGGTCAGCGACCCCCATTGCTCACTAAGCACTGACAATAGTCTGAAAAAAAAATTAAAGCACAACTCTTATGACATGGAACCAGTACGGTGCCAAAGAGGGTCACAAAATTTTCTGACATAGAAGTTGTCCTCATAGTTGAAAAAGTAGGGAACCAAAGTATAAGGCCAGGCTGATCAAAGACCATGATATTGGGAGTTCCCTGGTGGTGCAGTGGTTAAGAATCCGCCTGCCAATGCAGGGGACACGGGTTCGAGCTCTGGTCCGGGAAGATCCCACATGCCGTGGAGCAACAAAGCCCATGCGCCAGAACTACTGAGCCTGCACTCTAGATCCCGCAAGCCACAACTACTGAGCCACAACTAGAGAAGCCCGTGCACCGCAACGAAGAGTAGCTCCTGCTCACTGCAACTAGAGAAAGCCCACGTGCAGCAACAAAGACCCAACACAGCCAAATAAATAAATAAATTTATGTATATATTAAAAAAGACCATGATATTGAAAGTCCTGGAGAAAAAGCATCTTCTTCTCAACACCTGCTTTCCTACAGCTGTAGGAAAAGGGAAGATGGATTGTGCATTCTGGGCGGGATGGGTCAGGTGGATGCAAACTGACGCAAACCAATTAACTGAGCAACTTAAGGGGCTCAGCCTTTACGTTTTCCATGTTTCTCTCATGGTAGTCTCCACCCCAGCCAGCATGTTCATGTCTCTTGTTGCCACTTAGCTAAAGCCTACTCATTCTTCTGAGCTTGATTCAAAAGTCAACTCTTTCAGAAAACCTGTTTCTCTGCCTTTGTAGACTACGCTGACCTCCCTGTCCATGAGATCTCTTCTGTTTTCAGGCTGTGCCTCCAGGCAGTTTAAGTTTTTCATGTATACTGTCTATGCAGATAAATTATAAATTCCTTGAAGGCAAAGTCCTGGTTTATGCCTCATTCACCTCCCTCAAGATACCTAGTATTTTTTTTAGCACACAGGAAACTCTTTATGAACTCCCTGTTAATTATTTAAAAACTACCAAAACCCATAATGGAAATTTGATTATCTAAAAATTTAATACTTCTGTATAATGCTTCTGTGTTAAACTCCTTTAGAAAAACTCAGTCAAAGTCAAAAGACAAAATGGAGCAAAACTTGTAGCACAAAATGACAGAATATTTTCCTTAAGGTATAAAGGGCTTCTTACAATTCAACAAGAAAGACAAACCCAACAGAAAACATGTACCTTAGACTGAAAAGTATAAATGGCCAATAAATATATGAAAAGACATTCAATCTCAAACTAAAAATTAGTATTAAAACAATGACACACCATTACTATATTAATCATATTGGCAAAGACTAAAAAGAAACCTGATACTACTCATTTTTGTTGAATGTATATGCAAATAGGCACTTACATACAGGTGATGGGAACGTAAATTGGTCCACCTTTTTTGGGGGCAATTTGTTATATCTCTATTTATACCCACATATACTTTGACCTTCTATATTATACTGCTAGGGACTTATCCTATAGATATACTCACACAAGTATGCACAGACATACGTACAAGGTCGTTTACTGTAGCATTATTTATAATAGTAAAAAACTGGAAACAATTTAAATGCCCACAGAAGGGTACATATGACAATGGACTACCAAGCAGCCTTTAAAATAAGTGAAGAGAAGTGAGTCCTCAATATAGAGTATGATGTGTTTGCATATGTAAGAGGATGTAAATGAAAAAAGAAAGTTGCAGTTCTCTCTATGTAGTATGATGCATCTGTATATCTAAAATGATATACATGCTTGTATTCCATGGAGAATTTTTGGAAGAAAACTATTAGCAAGGGTTACTTTGGGGGAGTGGGATTAGGATAATCTTAGATCACTTTTGTTTGCACCTTATCTTAAAAAACTGCTTTAAGATACTTTAAGATCTTATCTTTATCATTAGTGTTAAGGTACTTTAAGAACTGCTTTATCTTGAAGAATATTAGACAAGTGGCACTATACCATTTGCCGCTTGTGGGAAGGAGGCATGGAGAGAGTTCTTCAGATCACCTGCCCGGCTCCTTCTTGTCCGACGACCCCGGCGGAGACTGGGGTGCCATGTGGCTATGGGCCGGTATCTTCGGGAGGGTTGCTCCTCTGAAACAGCAAACCCAGTGGGTCATACGGGAGGGTGATCAATTTTTTTTTCAATTGAAGTATTGTTGCTGTACAATATTATATGTTACAGGTGTACAATATCGCGATTCACAATTCTTAAAGGCTATACTCCATTTATAGTTAAAATATTGGCTGTACTCCCTGTGTTGTACAATATATCCTTGTAGCTTATTTTATATCTAATAGTTTGTACCTCTTACTCCCCTACTCCTATGTTGCCCCTCCCCCTTCTGAAAGTGATCAGTTTTGATTTGACCCACCTCCTGGGGTAACAGGTAGGGGAAGATCTGGACTGGCCTGTGCGACACTGAGCGGTACCCCGGAGTTCTGACACAAGTGGCCATGGCGATAGGCCCTGAACTAGTGTGACTCCATGCACTCCTAGCTGTCCCACGTTCCCGAGACTTTTCTCCCTCCTCCCTTTCTGTTATCTCCTCTCACCTGAGCCCTGGTTGCTGGTCACCACCTTGTACCTCCACTGGGCCTCAGAGAGAACCTTGGAGAACTGGTGCAGGCGGCTCTGCAGTCCGTCTCTGCTGCTGCTGCCCAAGCCACTCTGGCCTTCAAGCAGCTTTGGCTTCTCGGGGGAGCTGTGGCTGCTTAGCTCATCCAGCTGCTCCTGGAGCACCCTGAGGAAGGCCCCTATTACATATTCATCAGCCAGGAACCCACTGATACCGCTAGTAAAGTGCTTTAGGTCCAAAAAGCTGTGCCTGTGAGGCTCTGGGGAACTGTCTTTTGGCTCTGCCTTCAGAGAGCTTGGAACTGTGTAGGCCAGGCTCCTGGAGGCCCCCAGGGAACCCTGTTCTGACCTCCTCTCAGGCTGTGCTATGTGCTGAGGGCTCTCTGACGGGGACCTCAAACCCGACGGGCCCTTCCCCTCAGCGTAGTCCTCGGGCAGGTGAGGCTCTGGGTGAAGATCAGCAGAGGTGATAAGGAGCAATGAGAAGATGTTTTCTAGAAGTTCCAGGCACAGGGAGTCAGGAATACTGGACAGATACTGTTGACACCTGGCCAGGTATGTTGAAAAGAGATCTGAGGCACCTGAAGAAGCATGTATAAAAGAAGAGGTCAGAGAAAGAGAAGAGAGAAAATGCAAACATTAGAAACAGTACTTGCCAGACTGAAACATTCTCCCAAGTTTAACTCATTTCTTTCTTTGTAGTGACTCAGGGAACCGTGGTTACAGTCAGAAGACTAAGAGGCTATTGAGCCATGTCTTTTCATGATTTGTACAAAGATTTTGCTCCCTTAACTAAAAGTACAGTTCAGTGAACACTCATTATTTTGTTTCTGCTTTTTAAAATTACATTACTCCTTATCTCTGAGAAGCACTCCATATTTCAGTTCCTAGAATGAAGGCAGCCCGGAGACTCCTTATTCCTCAATTCCTGTTTGCACTCATTGTTTTACTACAGGTGATCACAGCCTACCCAGCTCTCTTAAAATGACCATGCTCAAAGATGAAGGTCTATTCCAAAGCTGCAAGGGAGAGATACTTGCCACAGTCACAGAAAGCAAGGTAAGGAATTATAAGTTTTTAAGAAAAATGAGAGCTAATAGGACAGAAGGTTCTTTCAAACTGTAGGCTGTGACCTATGACACTGACTTAGACGGCTGCATTTGAATAAACGAAATAAAGCAGAAAAATAATCAGGAGTGTGCTCTGTTTGGAAGGGTAAGTAATGTTTCTTAAAACTTATTTCAGTTTACGCGTCACATACACACATATACACATACACATGAAAGCACAAATTATACACCTAGGTGCAAACTGGAGTGATGTGAAATGCTATCTACTGTGGACTGGAGTAAAAAAAAGAAGCTTTGGAAAACACTGTACTAGGTGCTCAGGCTCTGGTAGAACTCATGCAGATCACTTGCTCTCTCCATGTCCCTTTGATTCACAGAGGCTGATAAATTATTCGTGGGCATAATAAAACCAAGGCCACCTCCCAGCCCTGGTGGCAAAGGGTTCCCACGCAAAGAACCTGCTGGGACAGGTTGTTCCCAGCTCCCGCCAGGGAAGGGGTGGGGGGCGGCGCTGCACCTGGGGAGGAGAGAGAATCGTTCACTGGTTCTGCAGCCACGGCCAGGTCCTCAGAGGGACCGTCTTTGCATTCCTGGCACTGGGAGTGCCGGTGTGAGTTCACACAGAGGGCATAGATGGCATACTTCATGGCACAGAAGCTCCGGTAGAGCGTCAGGTTCTGACACCGGCTCAGGTGCGCAGGGACCGTGACGTCAGTTGAATCTGAATTATAGAGAGAAACAGGCAGAACTTCAGAGATGCTTCTTTTTTTAATTTATTTTATTTTTGGCAGCATTGGGTCTTTGTTGCTGTGCGCAGGCTTTCTCTAGTTGCTGTGAGTGGGGGCCACTCCTCGTCGCAATGCACGGGCTTCTCATTGTGGTGGATTCTCTTGTTGTGGAGCATGGGCTCTAGGCGCGCAGGCTCGGTAGTTGTGGCTCGCGGGCTTTAGAGCGCGGGCTCAGTAGTTGTGGCGCACGGGCTTAGTTGCTCCGCGGCATGTGGGATCTTCCCGGACCAGGGCTCGAACCCGTGTCCCCTGCATTGGCAGGCAGATTCTTAACCACTGCACCACCAGGGAAGTCCCAGAGATGCTTCTTTCAGGCAGGGGCTGCATGTATGGCTGAAGCAAAGAGATGCCACACTGCTAGTCCCCTAGGTGTTCTCACCCTCTCTCCTTTCTGGCAGTGTGATGTGCGTCCCTTCCAGGCCTTTTTTTCTATTCAACAACTTTCAGTCTCTCGGTTTCCTTTTCCCCACCAACCTCCCCTCTACATGTCTGTTCAACCTAGGCCTCACGGCTATTTAACAAATCTTTCCCTTACATTTCTTAAAATACTTGCTTTTCCTTTTTTAAAAAAATAAAACTTGAAGTACATGTTTGGTCTACCTTTCGAATGCCACATTACCCAAGAGGCAGGCTTAAAATGTGTTTAGGTTGAGAAATAAGAGAGCAAAGGTAACACGGTGTTTAAAAAAAAAAAATTCTTGATATTTTTAGGAAAGCCCTGAAGCAGACATCATGAGAAAAAACATAAACTCTGTTGAGATTCCGTACACTTGTTTAATAATTTTTCATTAAAAATTTGGTTTGAACTTAGGAGGGAGGAAGGTTACCATCTTTACAGAATCTCTAAACATGTTAATCTACCCCTAATTCTTATCATAGCAAAAGTATAACCTGTTCAAAGAAAAAACATTAAATGTAATAAAGCAAAAAGAAGAAAAAAATACCACCCATAAGCCTACCGGCTAAACACAACCACTGCTACATTCTGGTTTAACCCCTTTAATAGTTCTGTGTACATGTGTATGTGTTTGAGTGTAACATTTTATATACTATTTAATTTTCCTACTTCTTAAAAATCCTTTAGAGCATAAGCATTTGATTATGTTTCTTTACAAACTAAATCTCTGCTGGATGCATATAGCTCTACTGAATGAATCCCTTGTCTAGGCATATTCCTCAAGGGCAGGACATTGGAATAGTTAGGGATGTTTTGCTACTACAATGCTGCAACAAGCCCCTTTAGGTATAGGTTTCCTAGTGATTACTTCTTAGAAGCTTGGCCTTGCCAAGGTCAGGGTAATAAGCAGAACAAAGTCAATATTGTTCTATGGCCTTGACCTCTTCATGGCATCATTGCCCAGAGCCAGGACTTGCAAGCTCGCTGAGAGGGAGTGGCTCCTTACATTTTTGCCCCAGATGCCTCTCTTGCCTCACCCTAGTCCAAGCCCTATTATCACTCCTCTTTTGCCTTTTCCAAGTTCAAGTTCTAAGTGTGTTCTGGTGGGTCACCAGGGATAGATTTCAAACACTTCTTCGGAAGCCTTTTGTACTTGTATGTAAAAAACACAGAGTTCCAGTTCCTCTAGGAAATCTGCTAAACAAGTTGTCTACCTTTCCAAAAAAATATAGAATGTAGTAACACTAGTTTTACAATTAGTGGTAGGTCCTTTAAAAAAGTAAATCAAAGCAATATCTAGGCTGACAGACATCTACTGCCATATGAGAATGTTTGTTTCTCTCAAAAGTAAGGTCCCCGGCCTGTGTAGTAGGTTGTGACCACACCATCATATGATTTTTGAGAGCAAGAAAGAGTGCTTGTTTAATGGGGACTTGAATTTTAAGCAAAGATCTAAGGTTAAAACAAGGCTTTGTGGGCTTCTCTGGTGGCGCAGTGGTTGAGAGTCCGCCTGCCAATGCAGGGGACAAGGGTTCGTGCCCCGGTCCGGGAGGATCCCGCATGCCGCGGAGCGGCTAGGCCAGTGAGCCATATGGCCGCTGAGCCTGTGTGTCCGGAGCCTGTGCTCCGCAACGGGAGAGGCCACAACAGTGAGAGGCCCGCGTACCGCAAAAAAAAAACAAGGCTTTGTTACTGTTTCAGGCAAGTCTTTCTTCTAAAAGAAAAACTCTAAAAAAAACTCAAAAAAAGAATCTTCTAGAAGAAAGACTCTTTACCTGTTCAATAGACTATGAAGAAGATATGGGAGGGAAGGAAGGCACAAAATGTGCTGTAAGAAACCTTATGAAGCATGGAGAGACTCACCAAGAATTTGCATAAATACTGCCAGTGACAATGCTGTGAATTCAGAGGGCAGTTCCAATTCTGTTTCAGTGAAATGAGGGTATGCTCATGGTTCCTGAGCTGGACCCATGAGGACAAATGTTCCTATGGAATTGTTCTCATAGGATACCCTAGGCCTCATCAAGAAAGGGGAAGATGTCCCTACATCTTGTCATCTGATTGTGGCAAACAGCACTAATTTAGAGGGTACCTGCTGGACCACCCATCTTGATAGATCCCAGCAATCACATCTAGATAAATCTTGTGCTGTAAGAAACATCTGCAAGATTGTCCTAAGAGGGAACCTTGCCCAGGTCACTCCATCGCCAACTCACCATGCTCTTGCTGGGGGTCCTTGGCTGGCACCTTCTGTAGGAGCTTGAGGACATCTTCCTCCCTGAGGGCTGGAAGGTTTGTAAGGTGATGGAGAGAGTAGAGCACTGAGTGGCTTTCTCCACCATGTAAGTGACACAAGAGATCTCTCTTTGGTATGGGGTTGCTGAAAGGGAAAGTTGGGAGGATGGAAGGGGAGGCAGTTTATATAATTGCTTTGAGAAAGACCAGTCTCCATTCCCTCTTATTCTTTCTCTCTGGCCTGTAACACCACAGGTTTCACTTCCCCAAACACTAAATTTCAGTTGGTCTATGATAGAGGATAGCATTTATTTACCCCCAGGGAAGGACATTCATCCAGCTGGCTTTACTTGTCTAGTAAGGACCTAGGAAGGGCCTCTGTGCTCAGCAGGGTCTAGAAAGGGCCCACAGATTAAGCTTCCTAATTTCTGTAATTTTCCTAGCTGAGAGCTGACACGAGCTTCTCTGCTTTTCTTTGAGTCAGGGCCCCTTGCGACTTCCCGCAGTGGCCTACTCGACTTCAGAAGTGCTGGTGAGGTGGGTGAAGAACAAAATAAGAACCCAGATCCAGGGAAGACCCAAGGCTAAGTTATCAGGAAAACACAGGGCTGCGCACACATTTCAAGAGGCAGTTGTTGAATAAAAATGTGATCCAAGATAACACGTGGCTAAGAATGTGGACCACACTCACTAGCTGTGTGACCTTGGGCATGTTATTTAACACCTCTGTGCTTCAGGTGCCCCACCTTTAAAATGAGGATAATATTGGTGTTTACCTCACAGGATTATTGTCAAGCTTAAGTGAAATCATCATGTAAAGGGCTTAGAGCAATGCCTGGTGTATAGTAAGTGCTCAGGAGATGTGAGGTTTTGTTCTTGTGATCACTGTCATCCTTAAATTATCCTCTAGTTATGACCCTATGGCTGTGGTGAAGATAATCAATACTTATGCTTCTTTCCTGGTTTAATAGTTGGAACAATTATTTGTTGCTGGTCAACACTGTCAACTTAAACCATTTACAGGGAAGATGTCTTGAAATGGCCACGCGTGCAGAGCATGGGGCAAGTGTGCCCCGTGGCGGGAAGAGGGCCGGCTGTGCAGGGCCATACCTGCTCTGCTGCACACACCACTCCAGGACCTCCAGGTGAGCCCACAGCCCATCACAGGCATCCCTGAGGAGCTTATCACAGCCTTGGTCCTGTGTTGATACGGGAGAAGAAAGAGATGCTGACTCAGGTACCTGGGGTCAGAGATGTGGCCGATTTCAGGACCCTGCATTCTGCCTCAGCCCAAAGTGCCACCACACTCATTTCCGGAGCTGCTTGGGCTTCAGAGTGAGAGTTACCTGGGTCCTGTGGAGTGTCTGGAGCAGCCTCTGGGCTGACGCTAGGCTCTGGCAGTGTGTCCAGCCCAGGAGCACGAGCAGTCGACTGAGAGGGCTGAATTCTCTATCTAGCAGGCAGCCAAGACTTGGGAAGTCTTCCTCCTTCAACAGGGTGAGTGCTGTCACCTGGAAGCCAAAGGAGGCTGCTAGAGGCAGCTCTGGGGACTTGCTGCTAATCAGGGTAAGAAGCTTTTCAGTATAGAAGGGAGGTTTCTGACAATGACAGAAGTGGCCAGTTGAATACAAAGTGTTTAGGAAAACACTAGACTGTAAGCTCCTAGAAGGCAGGGATTGACTTCTGTTGTATCCCCAGATCCTAGCATAGTACATAGTACATAGAATGAGGTTAATAAATAGCTGTTGAAGAACTTTCCTGGTGGTCCAGTGGTAAAGAATTCCCCTTCCAATGCGGGGGACGTGAGTTCCATCCCTGGTCGGGGAACTAAGATCCCACATGCCGTGGGGCAACTAAGCCCACGTGCCACAACTATGAGCTCGTGTGCCTCAACTAGAGAGCCTGTGTGCCACAAACTACAGAGCCCACACGCTCTGGAGCCCACGCGCCACAACTACAGAGCCCACGTGCCCTGGAGCCCGCACACCACAACTAGAGAGAGAAAACCTGCATGCCACAGCTAGAGAGAAGCCTGTGCGCTGCGACGAAGAGCCTGTGTCGCAACGAAAGATCCTACGTGCCGCAACTAAGACCTGACACAGCCAAAAAAAAAAAAAAAATACAATAAATAAATATAAAAAAAATAGCTGTTGAATTAAACTAAAGTTCAGTTGCAATCTGGAAAGAGAAGGTTAGAGTAATTAGAGTCCCCTGTCAGCTAGGCAACGTATCGCTGCCACCTTCTTTTCTTCCTCGCACCCTCCAGAAAGCTTACATGTATCCAACATTTCAGTGCCTGCCCAAGGACTGACACAAAACGCTGGCAGTTCTAATTATGAATGATACTGGTTCTCAGAGCCTTCTGGAACTGTGGGATGGACACAAACTAGACGACTCACTGCTAATTAAACTGCTTTGCGTTGGATAAACGAGTGCGAGAGAAAGGAGGAGTGAAGAAGCCTGGAGAGAGTCCCTGGGTACTTGAGTGGTGAAGCACTGAGTTTGACTTACCAGGATCTGCTCGAGGAAGTGCTTGCTGTTGCTCAGGCAGTAGAAATAGGCCAATTTCCAAGCCTGGGCTGGGTCAGGATTGGAGAACAAGGCTAGCATTGCCCGCTCAGGATCTAGATGAGCCGGTGAGACTGAAAATCAAACCAGATGGGGTTACTGGGGAACTGGACTCTTCTTTCCTAAGGTAAAGCCCATTTGAAAAACCAATTGATATGAGAGTTCACTCTTTTAAAAAGTTAAACCAGGTTTTCTATACTTCTCTCTTAAAGGCTCTTTACTTCTCTCAGTAGTTTCTGAAAAGTTCTTTTCTGCTATGACTATTACTTTATTTTTTTTCTCCATCACTCTTTCTTAAGCTATGAAAGCTGTGCTTTCACAGAACATCTTGCCCCTTTTTGCTTAGCTTCTCCCATTAGGTTTCCTGAACAACATGGAAGGGAGCAGGCTAGAGGGAGTCAGAGGGGCTGGGCGGAGTGGAATGAGAGAAGCAGTGCAGGGAACACACCTTTTCCCGAGGGTGTCGGTGGCTTTTCTGGGGCCTTCTCTGCATAGGTGTGGCCATACAGGGACACCAGGCCCCGCCCGGCCTTGTGCAGCAGGCAGCCGAGCAGCCGCTCCTCCCGCAGGGGACTCCCCCCTGCCCCGCTGGCCTCCAGCAGTTCCTCACACAGGAGACGCAGCTCAGCCCCGAGCGGCTCTGCAGGGCAGCGCAGAGTCCGCAGGGCTCCGTAGATGGCATCGACCACCCCTGGGTGCCCGATGGCAGGACCCCGCAAAGCTCGCAGTGCCTTTCGAATGAGGTCCACCAGCACCTTCTGCAGGAGCCAGCCTTGGAGGCCCGTGCCCTCTTCCTCCCCAAGCAGGAGCTCCAGCAGGGCCTGCGCGGGCTGAGGGGCCTCCCGCAGGAGATCCCAGAGCACAGAGACAGCTTCTGAGCTGAGCCAAGGGGGCCAACTCTCTTGCCTCTGATTTCCATCAAGCACAGAGTCTGCCGCATCTTGTGCCAAGACCGTGTACAGCTCCTAAATAGGGGATGAAGAGAGGGATGGGCGCTATGTCCAGAACGTTATCACTTACACGCCTTCATGTTTTCCTCTTTTCAGTGTATATATATGCATGTGTGTATATACAATAGTAGCAATAGCAAATACTTCTGTAGTAGTTACTATGTGCCAGGTCCTTTACACAGAAAAATTAAATTAGTACTTACAACCACCTTAGGAAGAAGACACTACTATTATCCTCGTTTTGAAGGTGTCCTCAAATCAGGGGGTTGAGGCAAAGAGAGATTTGCCCAAGGCCTCCATGCTCAAGCTAGTCACCCCCACCCCCATGGCCTCCGAAACGTGCACTGTCAATCTAAATCAGGGACTGCAAACTCATAGACCAGGTAACAGATGGGAATAAGACACTATGCCCAGCTCAAGGCATTTAAATTCAACTTTTAAAAGAACACTACAGACCAGTTTTTAACCCCTGATCTAAATCCCAACCAAGATTTTGGATACAGAATGTAGTAACACTAGTTTTACAATTAGTGGTAGGTCCTTTAAAAAAGTAAATCATTCTTCATCCTTCCCTAAAACCTTCCCCAGTACCTCCAACTCACACAACTCTCCCTTTTTATTGGGCTTTCAATGTTCTTAAAATTAGTACCATATGGCTTAGTACCTAATTGTGCCATGTGTGTATTTCCTTCCTCCCCAGCTAGATTGCAAGCCTTTAAAAGGCAAGATCTCTGTAGCCTATAATTTGTTTGGTAGGTTATTTCCCACACTTCAGCACCATTTCTGTGGGTGGTACTCAGGGATACCTGTTCATTAACCGCCTCCAAGATGGTCACAGGACCATGAGTCCTTGACCTAATACAAGTGAAAGTCCCTACCTTAAATCCTATTGTGAATATATCTTCAGTTAGCTGGTGGCTGGGTTATGAAGAAAATAAGTATTCAGCCTCAGAGCATCCCTCAAGCACTTAAGTATAGATCTAGTTAAGATTTTGAATCTGCTCCCAGAAGGCGGTTGTAAGGATTAGCTATAACACATTCAGTGCACCTGTTACAGAAAAGGTATTCAGCAAATACATACTAGTTCCTTTCTCCCTTTATATTCCCTGCCACATTCTGGTGAAAAATTTAAACATCTAGTTTAAAACCAAGTTAGGTATTCCTTTCACATGAGATGAAAAAAAAAAATTAATCCTCAGCTATAATTAGTACTTCTGGCCAAGCTACCTCTAAGAATTCTACAATCAGATAAGTTTCCCCTATCTCTAAATTCCCCTCAAGGGGCCTCCACCTAGCCTGGTCTTGCCTGAGAACAGAGAACTGCCAACATCTTGGGGACCTGCTTCTGCTAGATCCCTGAAAGCTGAATTTGTTGAGTGACTGCAAACCTGGGCAGAGAGATCCAGGGCCCTCTCTCACCTTGAGGATGTCCTCCGGGATGTCACCTGGGAGGTCTTCTGACAGTAAAAGAAACTCAAGTTTTCTCCGGAAGCCAGCTGGAAGTAACTTCTAGAAGAATCATAAGAAGGAAGCATAGATATTAAGCATGTGCTTTAGCTGACAATTATAAATAAATACTTCTTTCTGGTTCATGTTATTTCTGCTGTTTTCTCTAAGATAAAGTACTTCTGACCATTAAATTCCTGGGTATGTCTTCAGACACTTTTCTTTATAAACGGAAACAGCTAAACTGAACACATACTCCTCTTAAATACTAACACTTAAATCCCACACTGTTTAGCCTCAAATGCCAAGGCTTGCTCATTTCATGTGATTTTTTGCCTCTAACTTGAAGTCCTTCTCCAAGACTCTCCCTTGCAGTGTCCAAAACACCCAGTTATGGGTAAGCTGGGATGGAATGGCCCACATGATCCTCTTTTGGCCTAAACCCATTTTTGGTATTCATTTTTAGTTGGAAAATAAAAGTAAAGGGGGAGAGATCTAATGTTTATGAAACACTTATTATGTGCCAGGTACCATGTGCCGTATTTTCATGTGTTTTTAAAATCTCATTATATCGCTAAATCAAACAAAACTATGGCATCAGGATGTTTTTAAAAATAATCTTCAGTAATGATGAAATGGTTAGGAAGTATTTTCTAATCATTTCAAGCATGAAAAGGAAAAAGTGACCCCATTGTTTGTTAATGAGACAGGACATCAGAGACTAATGTATAAAGGAAGAGAAAGCCTCTGACTCTTCCTGCACCTGCTTGTTTCACACTAACTTCCCCTCACCTGGTCCTTAAAACTAAAATGATAGTCCCCCTTTCTCCAGACACAAATACAAATGAGATGAAAGTCTGGGACTAATTCTGACAGGCACTCTTTTAAATTAGAGACACCTGTAAATCATGCCATCTGAATGCTTATATAATGCTAATGATTGGAAGGTGTAGAGAAAATTCATTCTGGCAAGCTGAAAGTTAGTGATTCTATCAAGGACTAAGAGGAAGGAATAGATAAGCCCAGACAGCAGGCCCTTAATAAAAGAAATGGTTAAGATTTTAGGACTTTCATTAAAATCCTGAAGACTGACTAGCTTGTATCTTTTTTTTACTGATGAAATTACTTTATGCATATGCAGGGTCATAGACAACTAACATTCCTAAACCAGGCAGGAATTTGCCCAATGTTTCTAAGCACAGATTTTCTTACTATAAAAGCAAGGCATGTTCAATGCAGAAAAAGCAGAGAATACAAACACGCAAATGAAAACACACATACACAGCACACCCCCCCCCAAATATTTCCACTGAAGGAGAACTATAGTTACAACTGTGTTCTAAGGGTGTTCAGACCATTTTCTACATATGCATATATGCATGCATAACAAACATACTGTTTTCTAAATTTCTTTTTCTTCACATGGCAGAATATAAACACCCTCCCATGTCACTGAAAATTCATTTACCACGTAATTTTAATAGTGCCATGGTATTTTACAAGTAGATTAATGAGTCTTGGATTGTGGACATGGGAGTTGTTTCTATTTTTCCCTTATTAGAAGCAGCATGCTGTGAACATCATGCTGTTCACGTGATAAAAGGGCAGAAGGCAAAAATGGATGAAGGAAGGGGAAAATGGAATCAGTTTCAACGAATAATTCAAAAGGAGCTTTTGGCAGCAGGTGGGAGACTGTAGCAGGAGCAGCCAGCAAGCCCCTAAAAGATGAAGTCCAGTTCTGGCTTTGTAGAACTACCTCAGGAACACATTTGAAGTCTTGGCCCTTGTATTAAGTTTTAAAACTCTCTGAGGTCCTTGTATAAAGTTTAAAACATTCCCACGACTGTTTAAATAACTGAGGTACTGGAGCTTTAAGGACCAAATGATCTTCAATTCTGGGAAAAACAACTCTTAGGCTGTGAAAAGGAGCCAGGGAAGTGAAATCCACCTCCTGATCTGGTTGACCAACTGTCCAGAAATTTAACAACCACCAATCAGCCATAAAGTAAACAAGTACCCTCTGCTGAGGCAAAAGTTCATCTGGCTTGACAAATTCCATGTTTGTACTGAAAAGCTCCTTAGTCAGTAACAATAACATTTGTTATTTTTTTTTCTTTTCTCTTTGAAGATACTATTGAATATTTTAGCTGAAGATGTCTCTTTTAGATCTGAAACTACAGCCAACTCTTAAACAACCTGGGGTTGATTATTTTTCAGTTTTGCTTCTTTTCCTTCCCTCTCCTGTTGATCTTTTTGTCATTTCTCTTTGCTAGACCATTACCAAAAGCCTGGATAATAAATACATTTAGATTAGTAACTTCTGGTGCTTTTTGACAGCTATGTGAAGAAGGGTAAGTGTCAGGCCAAAGCAGAACTAAAGACAAAAGTCATTCTGATGACTGAGAGAAATTAAGAAGAAAATTAGGCTAAATTATAGACATTTACAAAATAGAATTTATGGTTTCTTGCAGCTTACCTGGCGGCGCAGTGGTTAAGAATCTGCCTGCCAACGCAGGGGGCATGGATTCGAGCCCTGGTCTGGGAAGATCCCACATGCAATGAAGCAACTAAGCCCGTGTGCCACAACTATTGAGCCTGCGCTCTAGAGCCTGCGAGCCACAACTATTGACCCCACGTGCCACAACTACTGAAGCCTGCTTGCCTAGAGCCCATGTTCTGCAACAAGAGAAGCCACCGCAGTGAGAAGCCTACGCACCACAACGAAGACTAGCCCCCGCTCGCCGCAACTAGAGAAAGCCTGTACACAGCAACAAAGACCCAACGCAGCCAAAAATAAATAAATAAAAATTAAAAAAAAGAATTTATGGTTTCTTAATTTTAAGTCTATGTAGGCTAAAAATATTGAGGTAGAAAAAGCAGAGGACTGATGACTCGAAGGCAGAAGACATTGGTTCCAGCTCCAATTTTGCCAACTAACTTTATGGTGTGACCCTGGGCCAGTCATTTGTTTTCTGAGTCAGAGGCTCCTCACTTAAATCTTAAAGTCTCAGGTTTAATACAAAATTGCCTGAGAATTTTTTTAATGGATATCAATTTCTGATAATTAACACATATTTCTAAAAGTGCTTTGAATGGTAATTTTTCTTAAAAAATAAAAATCAAAAAACCCTTCCTTACAAGTTTTCTTTCACTATTAATTTGCTCACTTTGTTTTCGTATTTGGTAACTTTTATTTCAATTCATGTGAGTTGTTAAATTATTAATTAATGATGTTTAAATCTATAAGATTTCACTGTACTGGACTAGTTAAAATAAGAGTTTTGGATGAACAACTAAGTTTCAGCTCAGCCCATTCTCCCTTACTTGAGTATTATGAGGATTAGACTTTATTCACTATCTTGTCACTTTCACTGAGTTCTGCAAAGTTCTGTTTGGGCACAAGACTCACAATAATATTTAACACAATAGTATCACCTCAGATGGTAGGTTAGTGAATTAATGCCAATGTAAGTTAGTGAATTAATAAATGAATTTAGGTAAAGAGACAGCAATAAATACTTAAGCCATTCTCACTGTCAATACTGAGAAAGGAATATGACAAACCTCAAAATACAGGAAGTAACAGACAAAAGGGAAATTTCATAACTCCTTCCAAGTTCTTTTCAGTCTTGGCCTTGGGCGAAAATTTTAAATGTAAACCTACTTACCTTTTCCAGGGCCAACCATTTTTCCAGTACAAGAAGCCAGACCCAGGCTAATCTTTGAGGGTTGATATCCTGTCCACATCTGAGAAATGTAAAAAGAAAAAATTTCTAAAGAGTTTCTACTGACCTTTTCTCTTTTGTGATCCAAGATTTAGATTTCACTACTCAGTCTGTTTTAAACCTGAACCGGCAAGACATTGTCCTGAGAAATTTTTGAATGTATATGACAGATCAATAAAACAAGAACCAGAACAGAACTAGCAGCTTTCATTAAAAAAAAAAAGTCGCAATTCTACCTCCGCCTCCCTATCTAGTTTTTAAAACAAACTAATATTACACAGAAAACCATAAGAGCAAAGCTATCTGAAATAGAAAATTTGAAATTTGAAAACAGAATCAAATAGTCAAAGAAAAAAGGAACTTCAAAAAAATTTATTTTTAACTCTATGCCAGAAACAGGATTATAGGAATTCATAAGCCTTTCTTTGAAGTTAGTAATTTAAATTAGACAGCAATTGGCTAGAATCCAAATTTAAGGGAAAAAACAAAGGAAGAAAAGAATCATGTAAATCTCCATTCTATATGTGTTAATACAGTACTTTCTCATAAGTAAATGCCAGAGTAAGGAAAAGTGAGGGAGAGACTGAACGTTTAACTCCTATACCACTAATTGTTAATAGCGCTGCCAGGAAGAACTTCATTCAAAATTCAGATAGAGAACATTGGTTGCCAGGGGACAAGGGGGGATCAATGTACAAAGAGGTATTCCCAGGGAGCAAGGGAATTCTTTTGTGGTGATGAAATAGTTCTGTACCTTGATTATACTGGTAGTTATATGAGTCTAAGAATGGATAAAGATACACAGAACTACACACATAAAGGTGAATGCAGATTGGGACTTCCCTGGCAGGCCAGTGCTTGGGACTCTGCACTTCCAATGCAGCGGGGTGCGTGGGTTCGGCCCCTAATAGGATCCCGCATGCCCTGAGGTGCAGCCAAAAAAAAAAAATGAATTCAGATTTAAAAAATGGTGAAAACTGAATAAGGGCTGTAGTCTAGTTAACAGTGCCGGTGTCAATTTCTTGGTTTTGATATTTACTATAGTTATATAAGATGTCACAATTGGAGGAAGTTGGGGAAAGGGTACTCTTTGTATTGTTTTTGCACTTCTTGTGAGTCTATGCTTAATTATTTCAAAATAAAAAGCTTTAAGTGAATACACTTCTGGTCCTTTGTTAAAGCTACAACAATATCTTCAATTTCACAAGCAAGAAGGGAGCAGGTTTGCTCTTTTGGGGGTAAAGAAAATGCTTTTCAACATAGTTGCACTATCTACTTTAATGATAATAAACAAGAAATGGTGGTTCCAGGCTTAAATACCACTCCAGATGATAATTCAAAGCCAAATTGATAAAGTAATAAATAGGCATGTATTATAGAGGTAAATTTTCAGAACATGTGAAATACACTCTACCTTTGTTAACTCTTCAGAAGTGACTGAGTGAGGCACATGGACCAGAGCTCAAGTATAGTACCTTGTGTCTCCCGCTCTGTGACTGCCTGGCAGGAGGACAGAGTTCCCTTACCTCAGCTGACTGGGACACATGACCAGCGCCTGAAGTATATCTTCCACCTTCTTTGGGATATCCCCTTGGGCCTCGTGTAGCTGAGGTACACAAGCCTGTGCCAACTCCCATTCTCCTCTCCGAAGGCATTCACAGAAAAATCCAAAAAGCTGCTTCTGAGAAGCAGTTTCCTCTTCTCCAAATGGATGATGCATTTTCCCAGCACAGAGTGCAAGGGAGATAGAAAGAGATGAATTACGCAAAACACATTGTCAATTTTCTCACTCGTGGAGTACCTCCTATAAACAACACACACCCGAGTCAGAAGAAAAGGAAGGAACTATATTTAGACAAACTAGCCGTACTAGGAAAGGCGGGGCTTACTTTTCTAATTAACGTTGTAAATTTGATTTGACAGGTTACTGTCTCTTTTGGGAAGTTCCACATTTCCCCAAGGGGTGGATCCCATCTCTCTAGGCGCATCCAATATTTAACGAATATTAATCGTCATATTAGCCCGCGGCGCAGACCCGAAACTCCACTTCCGTATTTCCTCCTGAGCTTTTTGCCTAATCCGGCTCCAAATCCCCAGGTGGTCGCCTCTTTACGGATGAGAAATTCAGCAGGAACCTCCCTAGTTTGAGTCCTCTTTTAAGGCAGAGGATTGAAGATCAGGAGAGGAATCTGTGTCAGAACTGGAGGGCAGTTGGGATTGGGGCTCAGGGACGCTCCCTACCGGGGTCGTGGAGAGCGCTCCCGCCTTCCCTGGGGCGCCTTACACTCACCTGCTCCCGGCGCCCAAATCAGCAGAGCTTCCAGCGCAGCCATGTTTGAGCTGAGTCAGGTGACAAATCCAGTTCAGAAGGTTGAGGCGGGGAGAGGATGACGACTGACAGCAGCTACTCTAATTGGTCAATCGAGGAAATATGCAAATCAAGCGCCATATTTGTTTGGGTCACGTGATTCCACCTCCGCATTAGAGGAAGCTAGGAAAGAGGTATCAACTATCTGGTTTAGGACCACCGCTCACGGTTTTGACAGATCCTCCGCCCGTTAATTGAACTGTGTGCTAGGGCCTACTTTAGAAGCTGAATAAGATACGGTCCTTGTCCTCAGGGAGATCACAGTCTAGTGACAGGGTGCAGGTCAATAATTAGGATGCAGTGGGCTAAATTATAAGATAGAGGTATGCACGGGGAGATGGGAGCAAAGAATGAGCAAAAGCCTTTCTCAAATAGAATAATCTGAAACCGAGTCTTAAAGTAACAGTTTACTAGTTTACTAATCACAGCTGCTTTTATACTGAACCTTCTGTTCGGTTTCCTTGGTGTTCTTCAACCATAGACTCTCACGTTTCCCCATTACATATTTTCGGTTTGAGCAATTTCATTCAGCATTTTCCAAACTATTTCACCACCAAAGTGTGGTGAAAAAAAGCAAACCAAAACAAACCAAAAGCTCTCTTGCAAAACCTCTTGGATGATTGGTGGATTCTCATATATTCCCAGAAAACTAACATGTCTCTCTGGTCCATTAATCAGTTTTTAAATGAAGTGACAAAAGGAAGAAGAGAGAAAATTAGAAGCAAGTTTTTTTCCTGGCTCATATTCTCCTTGTTGATGTTCCTCCACCGGATTTTGATAATCACTATATTGAGAAGTTGGGACTCGCAGACTTATTACAGAATGTGAACTACAATTCCCAGCAAGCAACGGAGCCGACCTGGGCCTGTGCCTACGTTTTATTGGATATTTCGCCAGGGTGACGACCCAACCAGCGCTTTGTTTGTTGCCTTGCGTCCCTTTCCGCGGGGAACTGTGTGAGGGGTAGGGGAAACTTTGAAAGTTGGATGCTGCAGACCCGGTACTGGAAAGTTTCATGTGGGGGGCGGTTTGGGGATTTGGGGTGCGCTCATTATTTCCTGCTCCCTTTCTGGGCCAGTGTTGTTGATATCGGGCGAGCGGAGAGTCACTCTTGCGTGCAGGGCACACCCCCTTAGGTCCATAAGGATCTTAATTTGAGCCCCGCCGCAGATCTGAGGCGTCTGGCTTTCCTTTGTGGGGGACGCTTGGAAGCTGCACCTTGTTGGGAAGAGTTATTGTTAGGGGCTTCTGGGGTGATGTTTTCGCTTCTTGATGTCCACCCGTCTTCCCACTTGTGGGCAGTTTGAGGTCTAGGCAGGGGAGCCCGTCATTAAGGGAAGTTTAGTGTCTGACCCTCTTCAGATGGTGTTGAAGAAGAGGTATTTAATAGCATGGAATATGGAGTCAGATCCCTGGGTTCGAATGCCTACTCCACCGTGTGCTAGCTGTTAGACTTCGCTCAAGTTTTTCAACTCAATGCCTCAATATTAGTCTGTAAAATGGGGTAAAACATCTGAAGCTCTTGGAACAGTGGCACCTAATAAGGGCTCAAGAAATATTAGCTATTATTTGTTAATTCACAGTTTTCATTGACCATCTAACATGTGGATTTTTTTTTTCTTGATGAGGAGAGGATTCAGTTTCCAGGATTGAACATCTTCCCTCACACCCTCAGTTACATGCTCGTGCACACACACGCAGAGCAAGAATTTACGGTTTCTGGTGGAAAAAACAAACATGCAAGCCATAACAATATGTTAGGAAGATTATCGAACAAATGTGTACACAGTGTAATGAGAACATTGGAGAGGAAGAGCCTAAGTAGCGGGAAGTCTTTGTGGAGGAAAGTCAGGGAGGCAGGGAGGCATTTGTGTAGCGTACCAACGTTACCGCTGGCAGGCAGGTCACGTGAGGCAACTAATGCTGTTTTCCTGAATGAATTGATCATAATCCCTAGCTTTGAGCACTACGGAGCCAGGCACCATCCACATCCTTTAACCTTCACTGCATTCCTATGAAGTGGATATTTGAATGATGCTTGTATTTCAGATGAAGAAACTAAGATACTGGGAGGCACGTGATTTTGCCAGAAAGGCCAGAATGTGGGGCTTGCAGTCTGATATATGAATGTGAGGGAAGTGAGGGACCAGTTTATGAAGAGGCTATAGGCCATCATAAGAAGTGTGGAATTTATACTGTGGTCTCATGGTCCCATGGGTGGTTTTAAAGGATGAGAGTGACAGGATTGGAGCAAATTTTTAGGAGGCTACCTCTGACAGGATTGTGACTTGCAGGTCAGTTTGGTGCTTATTCCTCTCTGCTTCCACAGCACATATATATTTCAGTGACAATACTTGCTGCATGACTGTAATTATTTGTGTATATATCTCTTTTCGTCTTTTACTGTGAGTTCCCAAAGGGGAGGAAATATACTTACATGATTCTTGTGCCGCAGAAGCACAGCAGAGTGTGTGCTTAAGAAGCATCTGTGGAAGGAACAAATGAACGTTTTTGTTTGTTTTGCGAGGCAGGGAGTGACCAGAGGCTGTATGCAATAGTCTAGGCAAGTGATAGGAGTGGTCCTACTAAGGCAGAGATAGCAGAGTCGGTCATTGTTAAAGTATTCCAGGTAGTTTGGGGTTTACAATTCTCCTTTTTTTTTTTTTTTTTTGTGGTACGCGGGCCTCTCACTGTTGTGGCCTCTCCCGTTGCGGAGCACAGGCTCCGGAAGTGCAGGCTCAGCGGCCATGGCTCACGGGCCCAGCCGCTCCGCGGCATGTGTGATCTTCCCGGTCCGGGGCACAAACCCGTGTCCCCTGCATCGGCAGGCGGACTCTCAACCACTGCGCCACCGGGGAAGCCCCAGTTCTCCTTTTTGATTGAATTTATCAGTCTAAATTGTGTCATTGCCCAGAGCTACCTGATCTGTGAAGACCCTAGGCAATGATACAGCAGATGTCACTTGGTAAACTTTCTTTTTGAGAGACAGAAACCAATACTGACAAATTCCCTTTGAGTGAAATGAGAGGGATGTATTTTATGTTTGTGGGAAGGATGTATGTGTGTGAGAGAGAGAAAGAAGGAGAGAGAGCCGGAGAGACGAAGAGAGTGTTAATCTGATCCAAGAATATAGATGTTAAGTAGAAGTTTGGGCCATGGAATTGGAAATAAATATCTACATTCTCAGTATATATTTTTGTTCCAAAATGTGACTCTTTTTCTGATAATTATATTGTTTTATCCCCTGGAACAATGAAGAGTTCCTATTTCTACTCTATTCAAAGGATATTTTGCCATCTGAGTGAGATACACAGCTTCTCCTTTGCATGAGTTATTAAGGGAATCGGAGTGATTCTGTTCCAACTCTCTGAAGACAAATATATCATGAGCCTCATTTAGCCCTCACAGGGTTCAACCAGAAGAGTGAAATTTAATTGCATGTGGGGATGTGAGCAGCTAGTATAACGAAAAAACAATTTCAGTTTGTAAATAACACCTGAAATAATAAAATCTCATTTGATTCAGAAGGTTTGTTCTGATTCATAGAAAAAGGAGACTTTAAATATGATTACAGACTTGTAGTACAGTATATTGGTTAAGAGGCTAGGCCTAAGAGTCAGACTTCCTGGTTCGAATTCTGGATCTACCATTTACTTTTTCTGGTAACAGTGGAATGGCTAACCTTTCCAGGGTTTAGTTTCTCATATGTAAAAATGAGATCAGTGATCAATGTTCCTTATAGGGCTGTTGAGAAGCTTGCTTTGGAACAGTGCCTGGTATACAGTAGGTGGTCAATAAATTTATTATTGTTACAGTGCAATGAAAGTAAAGACTTTCTGAGAGTGCTGTTTGGAAATATGTTTATTAATTACACATCCAAATAAAGTTTATAAATGCACCGAAAATCTAAAGATGCTATATAAATGTGAAACGGTGTTATTATATTTGTGTAATAAGTTTTAAAGAATTGTGTGAATTGCACATTCTAATGTGGTCTTGTTTCTGTGTGTGCATGTTTGACAAACGGTTGTCTCCCCTGTTTAAAATATTTGGAAAGATTTTATTGCCTTCCTTTATTTTATCAGTAATATTTTAAATACCATATGTTTCATTTTGTATGTGGAGACGCTTGAAGGATTTTTTATTTTGTAGAGTGTTTTGGATAGCCCATCTACTGTTGCTTATGCTATTTTCCAGGTTTTTTTCAAGTTTCTTCTTTATCTTGCTGCATCTGAAGACATGGGTAGCAAGAAACTAAGACGAGTGGGTTTATCACAAGAGCTGTGTGACCGTCTGAACAGACATCAGATTGTTACCTGTCAGGTAAAATTTATTTAATTTTTTTCACTGAGAAACTTGAAGTACAAATTAATCTTTTTTTCTTTTTCTTTAGATTTTTTCTTTTGATATGGACCATTTCCAAAGTCTTTATTGAATTTGTTACAACATTGCTTCTGCTTTATGTCTTGGCCTCTTGGCCATGAGGCATGTGGGATCCTAGCTCCCTGACCAGGGATCGAACCCACACCCCCTGCATTGGAAGGTGAAGTCCTAACTACTGGACCGCCAGGGACGTCCCACAGATTAATCTTGTGTACCTAAATAACTCTTAATTACACCTGAAATATGAACATTTAGGTTTATAAGAAAAGATAAATATGGTGCTTGCTAATTTTAAATAACAAACCACTTAGCTTGTATTTCCAAATGTGATTTCATTTATCCAAATGCAAGATTTTTGCATTTTGGGTGGAGTTGGGTGGGGAGAACGCTCATAGCAGAAGGTGAAGTACACCTGTGCCATTTATTTGGGATTCTAGAGAAGTTTTGTCATCATAAAAGAAATTTTGCAGTCACATGAGAAATATGACTCAAATGAGACAGTATTCAAAATGGGTAATTTCTCTTGAAAGCAAGAAAAATTAGTAGTTAGGATTATTTTCCTATTGATGGAGTGAGAGAAATATATAAGCAGATGTTGTATATTTAAGCAAAAGAGTAAAGCAAATCCCTCTTAGGAGGCTAAATAAGATTTAAGGTTTTCTGTTAGGATTTAATCCTTAATAAGACAGACTTTCAGAGCGTGCTGCAATTTTTTAAAAATTGCTTTGTGTGTTAATGATGTCTGTACTTCCTCTGTTATGCATTTTATAATCCTCATGTTCATACTTTGAAATACTCTTAAAAGTATGAAATTTAACATTTCATTCCGTAGTTTTATTTATTTATTTATTTGGCTGCATTAGGTCTTCGTTGCTGTGCGCGGGCTTTCTCTAGTTGCGGCGAGCGGGGGCTACTCTTCGTTGTGGTGCGCAGGCTTCTCATTGCGGTGGCTTCTCTTGTTGTGGAGCACGGGCTCTAGGCGCCCAGGCTTCAGTAGTTGCAGCATGCAGGCTCAGTAGTTGCGGCATGCGGGCCCTAGAGCACGCGGGCTTCAGTAGCTGCGGCGCGTGGGCTGTAGGTCGCGCGGGCTTCAGTAGCTGTGGCATGCAGGCTTAGTTGCTCTGTGGCATGTGGGATCTTCGCCCGGACCAGGGATCGAATCCGTGTCCCCTGCATTGGCAGGCAGATTCTTAACCACTGAGACTCTAGGGAAGTCCTTCCATAGTCACTTTTATTTTCTTTCAATTATTAAATACTTCCTCTGAATGATTTCATAGCTTAGGAAGAAACTCATTTTTTTTTAAAGTAGTACAACCTTGTATTTATTTATTTTAACATTTTTATTGGAGTATAATTGCTTTACAATGTTGTGCTAGTTTCTGCCTTACAGCAGAGTGAATTAGCTATACATACACATACATCCCCATATCTAACCCCTCCTGCGTCTCCCCCCAACCCTCCCCATCCCACCACTCCAGGCAGTCACAAAGCACCGAACTGATCTCCCAGTGCCATGCGGCCGCCTCCCAATAGCTGTCTATTTTACATTTGGTAATATATTTAAGTCCATGTCACTCTCTCACTACGTCCCAGCTTACCCTTCCCCCTCCCCATGTCCTCAAGTCCAATCTCTACGTCTGCGTCTTTATTCCTGTCCTGCCTCTAGGTTCTTCAGATCCTTTTTTTTAGATTCCATACATATGTGTTAGCTTATGATATTTGTTTTTCTCTCTGACTTACTTCACTCTGTATGACAGACTCTAGGTCAATCCACTTTACACAAATAACTCAATTTCGTTTCTTTTTATGGCTGAGTAATATTCCATTGTATATATGTGCCACGTCTTCTTTATCCATTCATCTGTCGATGGACACTTAGGTTGTTTCCATGTCCTGGCTATTGTAAATAGAACTGCAGTGAACATTGTGATGCATGATTCTTTTTGAATTATGGTTTTCTCAGGGTATAGGCCCAGTAGTGGGATTGCTGGGTCATATGGTAGTTCTATTTTTAGTTTTTTAAGGAACCTCCATACTGTTCTCCATAGTGGCTGTATCAATTTACGTTCCCAGCAACAGTGCAAGAGGGTTCCCTTTTTTCCACACCCTCTCCAGCATTTGTTGTTTGTAGATTTTCTGATGATGCACATTTTAACTGGTGTGAGGTGATACCTCATTGTAGTTTTGATTTGCATTTCTCTAATGATTAGTGATGTTGAGGATTCTTTCATGTGTTTGTTGGCATTCTGTATATCCTCTTTGGAGAAATGTCTGTTTAGGTCTTCTGCCCATTTTTGGATTGGGTTGTTTTTTTTTGATATTGAGCTGCTTGTCAATTTTGGAGATTAATCCTTTGTCAGTTGCTTCATTTGCAAATATTTTCTCCCATTGTGAGTTGTCTTTTCGTCTTGTTTATGGTTTCCTTTGCTGTGCAAAAGCTTTTCGGTTTCATTAGGTCCCATTTGTTTATATTTGTTTTATTTCCATTTCTCTAGGAGGTGGGTCAAAAAGGATCTTGCTGTGATTTATGTCATAGAGTGTTCTGCCTATGTTTTGCTATAAGAGTTTTTTAGTGTCTGGCCTTACATTTAGGTCTTTAATCCATTTTGAGTTTACTTTTGTGTATGGTGTTAGGGAGTGTTCTAATTTCATTCTTTTACATGTAGCTGTCCAGTTTTCCCAGCACCACTTATTGAAAAGGCTGTCTTTTCTCCATTGTATACTCTTGCCTCCTTTACCAAAAATAAGGTGACCATATGTGCATGTGTTTATCTCTGGGCTTTCTATCCTGTTCCATTGATCTATATTTCTGTTTTTGGTGCCAGTACCATTCTGTCATGATTACTGTAGCTTTGTAGTATAGTCTGAAGTCCAGCAGCCTGATTTCTCCAGCTCTGGTTTTCTTTTTCAAGATTGCTTTGGCTATTCGGGGTCTTTTGTGTTTCCATACAAGTTGTGAAATTTTTTGTTCTAGTTCTGTGAAAAATGCCGTTGGTAGTTTGATGGGGATTGCATTGAGTGTGTAGATTGCTTTGGGTAATATAGTCATTTTCACAATGTTGATTCTTCCAATCCAAGAACATGGTATATCTCTCCATCTGTTGGTATCATCTTTCATTTCTTTCATCAGTTTCTTATAGTTTTCTGCATACAGGTCTTTTGTCTCGTTAGGTAAGTTTATTCCTAGGTATTTTATTCTTTTTGTTGCAATGGTGAATGGGAGTGTTTCCTTAATTTCTCTTTCAGATTTTTCATCATTAGTGTATAGGAATGCAAGAGATTTCTGTGCATTAATTTTGTATCCTGCTACTTTACCAAATTCATTGATTAACTCTTGTAGTTTTCTGGTGGCATCTTTAGGACTCTCTATGTATAGTGTCATGTTGTCTGCAAACAGTGACAGCTTTACTTCTTCTTTTCCGATTTGGATTTACTTCTTCTTTTCCGATTTGGATTCCTTTTTTTTTCTTTTTTTTTTTTTTTTTTTTGCGGTATGCAGGCCTCTCACTGTTGTGGCCTCTCCTGTTGCGGAGCATAGGCTCCAGATGCGCAGGCTCAGCGGCCATGGCTCATGGGCCTAGCCGCTCCGCGGCATGTGGGATCTTCCTGGACCGGGGCATGAACCCGTGGCCCCCTGCATCGGCAGGCAGACTCTCAACCACTGCGCCACCAGGGAAGTCCTGGATTCCTTTGATTTCTTTTTCTTCTCTGATTGCTGTGGCTAAAACTTCCAAAACTATGTTGAATAATAGTGATGAGAGTGGACAACCTTGTCTTGTTCCTGATCTTAGTGGAAATGGTTTCAGTTTTTCACCATTGAGGACTATGTTGGCTGTGTGTTTGTCATATATGGCCTTTATTATGTTGAGGTAAGTTCCCTCTATGCCTACTTTCTGGAGAGTTTTTATCATAAATGGGTGTTGAATTTTGTGGAAAGCTTTTTCTGCATCTATTGAGATGATCATTTGGTTTTTCTCCTTCAATTTGTTAATATGGTGTATCACATTGATTGATTTGTGTATACTGAAGAATCCTTACATTCCTGGGATAAACCCCACTTGATCATGGTATATGATCCTTTTATTTTTTTTATTTTTTAAATTTATTTATGGCTGTGTTGGGTCTTTGTTTCTGTGCGAGGGCTTTCTCTAGTTATGGCAAGCGGGGGCCAGTCTTCATCACGGTGCGCGGGCCTCTCACTATCGCTGCCTCTCTTGTTCTCTGCGGAGCACAGGCTCCAGATGCGCAGGCTCAGTAATTGTGGCTCATGGGCCCAGTTGCTCTGCAGCATGTGGGATCCTCCCAGACCAGGGCTCGAACCCGTGTCCCCTGCATTGGCAGGCAGATTCTCAACCACTGCGCCACCAGGGAAGCCCTATGATCCTTTTAATGTGCTGTTGGATTCTGTTTGCTAGTATTTTGTTGAGGATTTTTGCATCTATGTTCATTAGTGATATTGGCCTATAGTTTTCTTTCTTTGTGACATCTTTGTCTGGTTTTGATATCAGGGTGATTGTGGCCTCGTAGAATGAGTTTGGGAGTGTTCTTACCTCTGCTATATTTTGGAAGAGTTTGAGAAGGATAGCTGTTAGCTCTTCTCTAAATGTTTGATAGAATTCGCCTGTGAAGGTGTCTGGTCCTGAGGTTTTATTTGTTGGAAGATTCTTAATCACAGTCTCAGTTTCAGTGCTTGTGATTGGTCTGTTTATATTTTCTATTTCTTCCTGGTTTAGCCTCAGAAGGTTGTGCTTTTCTAAGAATTTGTCCATTTCTTCCAGGTTGTCCATTTTATTGGCATATAGTTGCTTGTAGTAATCTCTCATGATCCTTTGTATTTCTACAGTGTCAGTTGTTACTTTTCCTTTTTCATTTCTAATTTCTATTGATTTGAGTCTTCTCCCTCTTTTTTCTTGATGAGTCTGGCTAATCAATTTTGTTTATCTTCTCAAAGAACCAGCTTTTAGTTTTATTGATCTTTGCTATTGTTTCCTTCATTTTTTTTGGATTTATTTCTGATCTGATCATTATGATTTCTTTCCTTCTGCTAACTTTGGGTTTTCTTTGTTCTTCTTTCTCTAATTGCTTTAGGTGTAAGGTTAGGTTGTTTATTTGAGATTTTTCTTCTTTCTTGAGGTAGGATTGTATTGCTATAAACTTCCCTCTTAGAACTTCTTTTGCTGCAACCCATAGGTTTTGGGTCATCGTGTTTTCATTGTCATTTGAAGAAACTCATTTCAGCCTGACTCTTTCTGGTCATCTGTTTGTGCCCAGACTCTTTCAGGCACAAGGGCAGCGCCAACATACACCTGAGTTGGATTCTGCTGCTATGTGTTGTTACTTGGTGTGTCCTCTGGTATATGCCAAGGTGGATAATTAGAGGATAAGATTATATCATCATATCTTTTAGTTAAGGGCTATTTAGGGGGAAAATGCTATAAGAAACATATAAATCTTTGATCGACAATAAATTTTTTTTTAAATACTTATGGATTTATTTGGCTGTGCCGGTTCTTAGTTGTGGCATGTGGGATCTAGTTCCCTGACCAGGGATTGAACACAGGCCCCCTGCATTGGGAGCGTGGAGTCTTAACCACTGGACCACCAGCGACGTCCCTGATCTACGATAAATTCTGCTTTTATTTACACATGGATAGTGTCAATTGAAAGTTTCCTTTTAATTCCAGTATCTTTGTTGCACATATATATTTTAAATATTTTCTTTATGTTTTTTAGGACTTTCTATGTCTTACCCCACTGGAGCTTATGAAGATGACTGGCCTTAGTTATCAAGGTGTCCATGAACTTTTGTGTGTGGTCAGCAGGGCCTGTGCCCCACGGATGCAAACGGTGTGTATATACTTTAGAGTTATGATTTGATTTTTATTTTGAAACGATTCTGTATCTCGTTTAAAATCTTTCGGGTGATGAGGCAAAAGCAAAAATAGAGATGAGCACCTCAAAAATCTTTCGGGTGATGAGATGAGCACCTCAAAAATCCCAACCCTCACAGTACAGAGTTAGTCCTCTAATGAGAATATATGCAAGAAATTTATGTAGTTTATAAGCTCCTAATTATAGGGAGGCAGTTCCTAATTATGGGAATGAGAAGGTAATATGATTTTCTTTTCTCTGTAGCTGGTACTGATATTTCAAAAGGTCATCTTTCTCTTTGGTTTGTTTGGGGAGGATTTGTGAACCTCATGGTTAAAGCATAATATACTGTTAATTTTAGAATGCTCCTGTCTTTGTAATACTAACTTTTATCATCATTACTTACTGTGCATCATAAAGTACACCTGTTGGACTTATACTCTCTTACTGATTGAATGAATAATACTTGAAAACTTATCCTCACACCTGAGAAGAGTTAAAGTGTTTTGTAATAAGCCCTCATCAAGTTGTACTATTATTTCATACTTTCTGTCTCATGACTTTAGCTTTTCAAAATGTAGGTTTAGTGCATGGTAGAAAATATCTTGTTTTCCCAGAATAAGAGTTGCCTAAAAGTCTGTCCAGCGTTTTGCAAATGTATTTGTTTATGTGGGTTATAAATTACTTACCTTACTATCTTATATTGAAATTTGGTAACCACCAAGCAATAAAGTAGGGTCTAACTCTGTGAAGGAGGAAGGAAGGAATATTTGTGTCATTTGAAACTTTGAAAACAATGAACAAATTGAGTATTTTCTTTTGTTCAGATTTAGCTCATTATCTAAGGAAAATACTTTAAAGGCAAAATAGTCAGAAGGAGAATTAGAATGGGAGTTAGAGATGGGCAGTAGTCTTAGCTTTGTCGTTGATGTCGTGTCTTTGAACAGCTCATTTTGTTTTATGGGAGAAGTTAGAGAGTTAAAATAGTATCTTATGATTCTGTGACGAGGTTCAAGTTAACTTGTCGCTATTTTGAAGGTTGTAAATCACCAAGAGAACATTTTGGTTTGACATCTGTCATTCTATTTGGTCAATATCTATGGCATATTCCTAGTTAGATAATTAAGTAGGAGATTGTGGGTAGGAAATTCACCTTTAGTCTCCACTTCCATCACCACTTTCAGCTGCAATGTCACTACAATTCCAAATGCCAGTTCAAAGAGCCATCTTTCTTCTTCGTTGTACATTACTCTTGTAAAATTCTTTAGATTTGAATCCTGTCTTAAATATTGGCTTAGCCTTACTTCATTCCCTCACAAAGCTTTTTTTGTTAATTTATTTATTCAATAATTTATTCCGTCAACCAATATTTATCGAGTGCCAGCCATGGATCTGTCAGGTACTGGGGATATTATAGTGAAGATGACTGATAAAGTTCCTGCCCTCATGTAGCTTACAGTCTAGTGGGAACAGTCAGACAGTAAACAAATAATTATACAAATGATTAGTTAATTGTAGTAATGACGAGTCCTATCAAAGAAAAGTACAAAGAGCTTAGAAACTGAATAACAGGGACATTATTTAGTTTAGGGGTCCTTAAGAAGGGCTCCCTCAAGGAAGCGATACTTCAGCTCAAACCTGAAGGATGAATAGGAGAGAGATGGACAACGGAGTTGGGAAGGGAGGGAGCAGGGAAGAGTTTGCAGGCACTGTGACTGGGAAATGCAAAGCCCCTGAGAAGAGCAGGAGAATGGTGCTTGTATGGTAAGAAAGTCAGGCCAGTGTGAATGAACGTAGTGGCAAGGAAGAGAGTGTCAAGAGATGGAAGTTGGAGAAGCAAGCAGGGGTTAGGTCACTGGGGCCTGCAGACCATGTTAAGGATTTTGGACTTTATTCTGAAAGCAATGACACGTCATCAAAGGGAGTAATCTAATACGTGTTTTTAAAAACTCAGTCTTTAAACATAGACAAGTGATTGAAAAGGAACAAGAAAATATTTGTGAAGACTAGTTAGGTATCTATGACTGTATTACAGACAGATTGTGACATGGACTATTAGTGTGGTACTGATGCCGATGGTATAATGTCAGTTATCGTGAGAGATACTTAGGAGGTAGAATGAATAGGATTCGGAGATGATTCGGCTGTGGGTGGTGGTGAGGTACAGGAAAGTGTCAGAGATGATTCCTTGATTTTGCTTTGAAAGATTGGGTGGTACCATTTCCTGAGATGAGGAATATTGGAAGAGGATCAGGTTTGAGGGAGGCACATCGTGAATTTGTTAGTACCTGTCGAATTTTTGGTGCTTGTGAAACATTTAAATATGTGGACTTTGAGCTTGAAGTAGAGGTCTGCACTGGAAGCGTGCATTGGGGAGTCATCGGTGTGAACATGGTAGTCAAAGCCATGAAAATGGGTGAGAGATTGCCTAGAAGGTGTGTACAGTGAGAATGTAAGTGTGCCCAAGACCAAGTCCCGAATCCAGCCAACATTTCAAGATCAGATTAGACAACGATGAGTCTAAGAAGCAGCCTCCAAGGTAGAAGACAACTGGTGGTGTGTCATATCATAGTGTCCCTCTTTGTCTCGCTTATGTACACACTATTATTTCTGAAGTCTTGTTCTGTTAGTTCATTTTAGTAGTTCTTTGAGTCACGAGATCTGTTATTCTAGTAATTACACTTATAGTTGCAAAGGAAGTACTTTAATGTTAATAGATTGGGTTGCCTTTACATGTCTGTAAAGTGTCCCCATGCCCACCTATGTTGCCTGATAGATTGTAGGCAATATTTAGGTATTTCTAAATCAGATGAAAGGCACACACCTTTTACTGTAGCTTTATTCTATTTTATTTTATGTGCCTGAATGTAGCCTTTAAAAAACTCTGTGGCAATCCATGGTTTAACTGATCTAAGAACTCAATAGGTGAGATTAGACAAGAGTGGGCACATTTATGGCTCATACGTATTAATATACTGGTCTTCCTACGTCCTCATAGGAGCAGAAGAGCCTTGGATTTGAGACCTAGACGTATTCAATTGTAAACTTTAGGTGGGTAGAGACTAGGTCTGTTTGGGTTACCACTCTATTCCCAGAGCTTATCATAGTATATGACATGCAGTCGGCAATTAATTCATATTTTTTGAATGAATGAAGGAATGAAAGATTTCAGTTCTGTGGCTTGACTTCAGTTTTGGGCAACTTAATATAACAGTAGTAATTTTTAATGTTCGAGATTGCAGAGAGGCAAGTGTTCTTACACATTGTAATCATGTTAACCACATCTGCAAAGACCCTTTTTCCAAATAAGGTAATATTCACAGGTTCCAAGGATTTGATGTGGCTGCCTTTTGGAAGGCCATTTCTTAGTCTACCCCATCCACCTTCAAGCTGTTCTTCGCAAAGCAACCTCGGTTTGAAATGGTAGCTTGGCCGTGTCACTCCCTGTTGCTCTCAGCCTACACGCCACACTTCAGCAACGCTCTTCCTGATTAGGCCCCTGCTTATTCCTCCAGCCTCATTGCTTGCCACACCACGACCTCGCACCTTCTTTCTGACGTTCTAAATGAACTCTTTTTGTTTTTTGTAGTTTTTGTGAGTTTCCATTTCCTTTCTTGCTTGCTTCTTGACCTTTCTTCGTACATTCTTGTCTCTTTGCCAGGAACATGCACATTCCCTTTGCCTGTCTAACAGTCATTTCAGGTTTTAGCTCAGACATCCAGATCTCCCTTGAAGCCTTCCTATATCACAAAATCCAGATCGGGTATACTCTCTCCAGGTCTCCACTTGCCCTATCACAGTATCTCTTATTTAAGTGTATGGTAATTGCTTAGTTTCTAGTCCTAATTTCATAGTCCCTAGTTGGCTATAAGTACTGTGGGGCAGGGGCTCTGTCTTTTATATCACAGCCCCCAGATCTAGCACAGTCCCCGGCACAGAGTAAATAGTTGTTGAATAAATAAATAGTAGAAGAAAAAAAAGGGGATTGGGGTTCCAACTGCTAGAATTTGAGTTTGGATTTGACTTATGTTTTTGAATAAATATTGAGGTTGAAAATAACTTAATCTCTTCTTTGTTCAGGCTTATGAGATAAAGACACAGAGGTCTGCTGCTCCATCACCAGCATTTTTATCTACAACCCTCTCTGCTTTAGATGAAGCCCTGCATGGTGGTGTAGCTTGTGGATCCCTCACAGAGGTAAAAAAGAAACTTTCCAAGCCTTCTTCCATTGACTTAGAACCTTCAGAGCCAGGGGAAAAAGGTTAATTAAAAACATAAATTATTTTGGGAATATTCATCTAAATTATAAGTACCTCAAGGGCATGGTTCTCCACTCAGTCCCTAGTACAATACTAGTACAGTACATCAAAAGGAAGATGGTCCCAAAAAATCCCTGCTGACTGACTGAAATCTGCTTGGGTTGCTGTTTCTTTGAATTAGAAAGTGATGAATATTATGAAATAATATGAAACAATTTGGGGGAATTAGAAAAGGATCACTACTTAGTGTATTAGGAAGGAAAATTTGAAATTTTATTAACATGTGGGCAAATTATAGTATTAAACTGAAGTGAGCTATTTTCACTTCCTGTTAAAGATAAAATTTTGTTCTAGGAAGTAATAGGTTGTTGTATTAGTTATATACTGTTGCATAACAAATTACCCCCAAACTAAGTGGCTTAAACAACAATAAACATTGATTTCCGTTTCTTTGGGAGTGGCTTAGCTCAGTGATACTGGCGAAGGATGCGAGGGGGCAGGTTGGTGCTGGTTGTTGGCGGAGGTCACGATTCCTCCCCAGAGGGCTCTCCACAGGTTGCTTGAGTCTCCTCGTGACACAATGTCTGACTCCCTCAGGCAAGATGGAAATGGCTATTCCTTTGATGATTTAGCTTTGGAAGTTATACACCATCACTTCTGCCACTTTCTCTTCTTTAGAATCGGGTAATTAAGTCCAGCCCACATTCAAGGAAAGGGAAATTAGACTCTACCTTTTGAAAGAAGTGTCAAGAATTTGAGGATATTTTAAAACCACAACAGTTCTTTTCCTTGAAAACTGCATTCATGTGCTTACTGGTCCTCATGTGGTGACTCCATAGACTATGTTTACCAGTACACTCCTGAGGGACTTCTTGCCTGAGAGTTCTAGGGGAATAGATGCTTGAAACAAACTTTTAACAAGAGTAGACGCTTATATTCTGATAGGCATAAATTTAACTGTAGATATTTTCCCTTGAAAATAGGGGACCTGTTTTAGGTAGTATACATTATTTTATTTCCGGTCTTCCAAGAAAGATATTTTTTTTTATAAAGTTTTTTTTTTTTTAATTTTTATTTATTTTATGTTTGGCTGTATTGGGTCTTCGTTGCTGCGCGTGGGCTTTTCTCTGGTTGTGGCAAGTGGGAGCTACTTTTCTTTGCGGTGCACGGGCTTCTCATTGTGGTGGCTTCTCTTGTTGCGGAGCACGGGCTCTAGGCACGCGGACTTCAGTAGTTGTGGCACACGGGCTCAGTAGTTGTGGGTCGCGGACTGAGCAGTTGTGGCTCGTGGGCTCTGGAGTGCAGGCGCAGTAGTTGTGGCACATGGGCTTAGTTGCTTTGCGGCATATGGGATCTTCCCGGACCAGGGCTCGAACCTGTGTCCCCTGAATTGGCAGGCAGATTCTTAACTACTGCACCACCAGGGAAGCCCACCAAGAAAGATTTTAAAATATGTGCGTGCTATGCCTAGTAGATGCCTATTGGATAGTAGGTAAATGAATGAAAGAGTGAATTAACCTTTAATAGAAATTAGAATGTGCTGTTGCAGGGCACTGCCACCAGATGGTGCCAGAATCCTATCTTACATAATCTTTTTGTGATGTAATTGGACCTTTGTTGAAATAGGTTTATTTAAAAAAAAAGAGAGAGGCTTTATAGTAATTGTGATCCACAGTTATAAACTTACTTATTTAAATAGCAAAACTTCAGGAAGATTAACCAACAAATACTTTTTTATTTTTTAAGTTTTGGAATAGTTTCAATACTTTTTCATGTAGCTTTTATCAATTCTTTCTGAATCCAAGAGATAGTTACAAGCCATTAGATGTTTTCTCATCATCTGATTGGCTGACATGGAATATAAATACCCTGATTGCTTATTAGAGGCAAGTTCTCTACTTTCTGTTTCAGCTCCAGGTAGCCTCTGCAGTCTTTTTGGGATTTTTCAGCTGAGTACAGGGAGTATTTGTTGACCTTGTATTAAAAACAAAAATTTAATATCTATCTTATGTATACAAGATTAAATACATCCTGCATGTGTAAGTTATGAACATTTATGAGCCTGTGACCCAATATAAAACGCAGAACAGTACCAAAATCATTGAAACCAACTGTGGGCTCCTCCCTGATCCCATCTTTGGCCTTCTGTTGGGAGGTAACTTCCATCCTGAATTTCCACCATTGCTATCTTTTTTTTTTTAATTGAAGTATAGTTGATTTACAATATTATATTGGTGTCAGGTGTACAGCATAGTGATTCTACCATTGCTGTACTTTTTTTCCCCAGTGGTTACCAATACCTATAGTTTTCCTTTATCACCCATATACATAGGAAATGTAGCATTTTATTTAGTTTTGATTATTTTTGAGCTCTATTACACAATATATTGGTGATTAAATCATATCATATCTCTTCTATGAATTGATTTTTCCACTTAATATTATTTTCTAAGATTTATCCATGTTGCAAGTAGCAAGAGTATAATTCACTTTCACTGCTGTGTCATACTCCATTTTGAAAATATAGCCACAGTTTATTTATCCCTTCTCCTGCGAGTGAACATTTGGGTTGTTTCCAAATATTAGCAGTTTGCTAACAAGTCCTGTGAAAACTGTTGTACATGTCTCCTGGATCACATGTACAGGTGTTTCTCTAGGGCACAGGTTGGCAAACTACTGCCCAGTGATCAAATCTGGACAGCTGCCTGTTTTTTATAAATAAAGTTTTATTGTAACACAACTATGTTCATTGGTTTACATTTTGTCTGTGGCAGTTTTTGAGATACAAGGCAGAGTTGCGTTAGTTGTGACAGAGACCTCGTGGTTTGCAAAGCCTAAAATATTTACTAGCTGGCTCCTGCCTAGGGGATCTACCTTGGAGTGATTTGCTGGTTATTATAGAGTATGCACATAGGTAACATTGCAGAATCAGGACAAATTGTTTTCCAGAGTGGTTGTGCCTGTTTACATTCCTATGAGCAATGTGCACGAATACCTCTTGCTCCATGTCTTCTTGCCTTGGTATTATCTGACTTCTCAGTTTCTGCCCATCTTTGTGATCTTAGTTTTCATTTTCCTGATTACTAATGAGCTGGAATATCTTTTTATAAATCATTCGGCTATTTAAAAAAATTATTTTATTTTTTTATACAGCAGGTTCTTATTAGTCATCCATTTTATACACATCAGTGTATACATGTCAATCCCAGTCTCTCAATTCATCACACCACGATCCCCACCCCCCGCCACTTTCTCCCCTTGGTATCCATACGTTTGTTCTCTACATCTGTGTCTCTATTTCTGCCCTGCAAACCAGTTCATCTGTACCATTTTTCTAGGTTCCATATATATGTGTTAATATACGATATTTGTTTTTCTCCTTCTGACTTACTTCACTCTGTATGACAGTCTCTAGATCCATCCACGTCTCTACAAATGACCCAGTTTCGTTCCTTTTTATGGCTGAGTAATATTCCATTGTATATATGTACCACATCTTCTTTACCCATTCGTCTGTTGACGGGCATTTAGGGTGCTTCCATGAACTGGCTATTGTAAATAGTGCTGCAATGAACATTGGGGTGCATGTGTCTTTTTGAATTATGGTTTTCTCTGGGTATATGCCCAGTAATGGGATCGCTGGGTCATATGGTAATTCTATATTTAGTTTTTTAGGGAACCTCCATACTGTTCTCCATAGTGGCTGTATCAACATACATTCCCACGAACAGTGTAAGAGAGTTCCCTTTTTTCCACACCCTCTCCAGGATTTGTTGTTTGTAGATTTTCTGATGATGCACATTTTAACTGGTGTGAGGTGATAAATCATTGCAGTTTTGATTTGCATTTCTCTAATAATTAGTGATGTTGAGTAGCTTTTCATGTGCTTCTTGGCCATCTGTGTGTCTTCTTTGGAGAAATGTCTAGGTCTTCTGCCCATTTTTGGATTGGGTTGTTTGTTTTTTTAATATTGAGCTGCATGAGCTGTTTATATATTTTGGAGATTAATCCTTTGTCCATTGATTAGTTTGCAAATATTTTCTCCCATTCTGAGGGCTGTCTTTTTGTCTTCTTTGTAGTTTCCTTTGCTTTGCAAAAGCTTTGAAGTTTTATTAGGTCCCGTTTATTTTTGTTTTTATTTCCATTACTCTAGGCCATGGATCAAAAAAGATCTTGCTGTGATTTATGTCAAAGAGTGTTCTTCTTATGTTTTCCTCTAAGAGTTTTATAGTGTCCAGTCTTACATTTAGGTCTTTAATCCATTTTGAGTTTTATTTTTGTGTATGGTGTTAAGGAGTGTTCTAATTTCATTCTTTTACATGTAGCTGTCCAGTTTTCCCAGCACCACTTATTGAAGAGACTGTCTTTTCTCCATTATATATCCTTGCCTCCTTTGTCATAGATTAGTTGACCAGAGGTGCGTAGGTTTATCTCTGGGCTATCTATCCTGTTTCATTGATCTGTATTTCTGTTTTTGCACCAGTACCATGTTGTCTTGATTTCTGTAGCTTTATAGTATGTCTGAAGTCAGGAAGTCTGATTCCTCCGGCTCTGTTTTTTACCATCAAGACTGCTTTGGCTATTTGGGGTCTTTTATGTCTCCATACAAATTTTTAGATTTTTTGTTCTAGTTCTGTAAAAAATGCCACTGGTAATTTGATAGGGATTGCATTGAATCTGTAGATTACTTTGGGTAGTACATCATTTTCACAAGTTTGATTCTTCTAATCCAACAACATGGAATATCTCTCCATCTGTTTGTGTGATCTTTGATTTCTTTCATCAGTGTCTTATAGTTTTCTGAGTACAGGTCTTTTAACTCCTTAGGTAGGTTTATTCCTAGGTATTTTATTCTTTTTGTTGCAGTGGTAAATGGGAGTGTTTCCTTAATTTCTCTTTCTGATCTTTCGTTGTTAGTGTATAGGAATGCAGGAGATT